AATTTCTTGGCCACCCAATCTCTTGTAGCCCTTTTATTCTTGAAGACTCTACAACATGTATGAGTCTCTTTAAAAGTCTTAACTTGGAATGTGCTTTGCTTACTGTTCCAGGCACAATACACCATCCATTCACAGTCTTCTACACTGCATTTGGCCCTTACTCTCACCTTGTCATTCTTAACCCATACGAAGTTCCTACCAAGACTGATATTGTAATCTTTTACTGCACCCTTAAATTGGTCCAGATTCATAAACTTCATACCAAGTTCTAAATAGACATGCCCAAAAGAAGCTTGCTCATTGAACTTTGGCATAACAGGTCTAACATTCTCATCATCATCACTTGAAGGAGGAGTCCTCAACTCCTCGGACAGATAGGTATATCCTTCTTCCTCAAATGACATCATGGCTTCCTCTTCATCAACTTCTTCAGATTCAGAGTCTTGTATTGAGGCATCCTTCTTGATTGCCTTCCTCCTTGGGGTCTGTTTTGCAGGCCTTTCTTTCTCTACAATTGGCACTGACATATCATCATCTTCTGAATCATCCTCAACACCAGGTGGGGGAGGCTTGTAAACCTCATCCTCTGCACTCTCATATGAATCTGAGTGTGAGGTAGCATGGTCATCATCTGCATTGTCTTCTTCAGACCCATCATCTGCACTGTCTTCATCATGGTCCGAATTGATCCCATCATCACCTTCTGCATTCAGGTCATCAGCAGCCCGTGCATGGTCTTCATCCAAATTCATCCCATCATCACCTTGCGCACCAAGGTCATCAGCAGCCTGTGCATGGTCTTCATTTTCTTTGACCCCAACATCACCTTGTGCACAACCTTCATGTGAACCGACTTCATCATCAACCTCTTCATGGTCGTCATTATGTGCTGAATTAATGATATTATCCTCTTCACTGTCATGTGTAGGTGAAGCAAACTGGGGAATTGAGATGCAGCCCTCAAAGTAGACATGTATCTCATTTCCATTCCCTAAAGCAGCCTCACACATAGCACACACATCTGAATCTGTACTAAGAGGTCTCAGCCCCAGATCCAAATCGGGTACCCCAGGCTGTAGCCACATCATCCTCTTGTATTTTTCATACCCATATTGCTTAAACAGGGTGTCAAGGTCACGAATATTGCAGTAGTCAATGTCCATATCCGGCAATGAGTCCACCCTTCCATATATATAGGTCATCACTCCATCTTCATCTCTGATAAACATACCACCGTGATGATAGACAATAACTATGTATTCGGACATCTGTCAAAACCAAAAAACCAATCCTATCATTAAACCATGAAGCCACAGACTTTGAAAGTGTTAAACAATACAAAGCAATAAAAAAGCAACCTTTTTTATGGATGCAGACATGTATTCCAACGATTAACATGGGGTTTTTAAATATTTTTAAATGGGTCAACCATGGCAGGGACCACACCACCTGGTTGTTACTTTCTTTTAAAACAAAACCCTAAATGGAAACATGGACCACAAAGTTCCACTTCGTGCAGACAAAAACAAGCATTAAACAAAGGGGAACGACATGGGGACCACAAACATTAAACAAAGGATGACAAACAACAATATAAAAAAGTTTCAACTTATAAATACTCATACCTTTTTCAACGGAATGCTCAGCCTCACAAAGTATCCAAATATGGCCCTTCTTTCTTCCACTGGTTCCCTTCGATTCTGGAAAAAGTTGGCAATATTCTAGACGCAAACACCAGGGTTTAATGGACGGTCTTCTTCCTTCCTTCTCAACGATGAAGTGTCGATGTTAGAAGAGGGGGAACAGGTAAAGTGTCCAACGGTTAGGTGAGGGGCAAAATTGGGTTTTTGAAAAAAGGGTTGTCCAAGTGGCTGAGTTTGTACCAAACGACGTCGTCCAACCACTCCACGTGGGCAACCGCATGTCACTTAACGTGACACATCAGCACCGTCACTCACTCCGTCAATTTTCATTTGACAGAAGGACTAACGTGGGACCTGTTTGACATTGTTGGGGACTTTTTTTTGAGTTTATTTTTCTTAGGGACTAATTTGGCCACCGCATTTTTTGTCAGGGACCAATTTGGGTCTTTACTCAAATTTTTAAGTTATGATTAGGGAAAGACCCAAGTAGGTAGAGAGGAATTAATATATTGGATCGGTTTTCATCAACTCATCCAAAAACCGATCCGATCCAATCCAATTAAAATTTGCGACTTTTTCGATTTTTGATTTTTCGGTTTTCGGTCTTTCGGTTCGGTTACCGCAGTTTGGATCGGTTGATGAACACCTCTATCTTATCGGGCCGAATATCTCAGTTTATCACAGCATGGGAGACGAGTTGCCAATGAGCACTATTCATTGGGTTTTAGGCTGATTTATGATCGATTATTTTGTCTTTATTTTAATTTTTGTTATCATTTTATCTTTCTTCTTAAATTATATATCAATCTTTTTTTATTTGATCAAAATTTAATTAAACCTTAATCATTTATTCAAGTAAATGATTCATTTATTCTAATAAATGTGGGTCAAAAAAGGACAAATTGATATATATTTCGAGAAGAGAGACAAATTAATATATAATTTGGGAAAAGGAATAAATGATAAAAATATTTTAAAATAGGAATAAAATGATGAACAATATTAAACATTCAAATAATAATAATAATAAATTAGCAATAAAACTTTGTTTACAATTATTATTATTCCCAACATTAACACTTAAAAATAAATTATGCATATTCGTTATTTGTATTCTACCACCTTTTATAGTTTTTTTTAACATAAAACACTATACAGAAAGATTACTAAAAACCATTGAGTAGAGTATATTTGGTATAATAAAATACCTTCTCATCATGTACCAAAAAAAAATAAAAATAAAATACCTTCTCATCTATTACAACTATCTACGAAATATAAAGTAATACTCAATGCGCGGCTCTAACCTTAAACTTCCGAATAACTATATATTAGAAATAAAATCATTATGGATTGCCATAAGCAAAATACAAAACCATAACATATCTACTTCAATAATGAAATGATTATAAGTAAAATGATGAAAATGAATAATGAAACAGGGATGGAAGGGAAGTAGATTATGAACCAGGATTCTGATTTTTATGAACTTGATCATGTGGATTATAAAAAAATCTATATAAATAATCATAAACATTTTTGTTAAAAAATAAACATTTAAATTTTAAAAACATTTTTTGGGCGGAAACACGTACAATTATGAACTTGATCATGTGGATTATCAAAAAATCTATATCAATAATCATAAACATTTTTGTTAAAAAATAAACATTTAAATTTTAAAAACATTTTTTGGGCGGAAACACGTACAAACTTGTATAATTTACACGTCATCTTAAATGATGAAGTGGCTTTTTCGGAAAAATAAAATAAAAAATAAATAAAAACCAAAGTAGCAGCCTTCGCACTGAAGAAACCAAAAAACACCCATCCAATTCAAAAGTCCAATGTTTTGAAAGAAAATTATGAAGATGTCATTGGGCAGGAAAAGTATTACAGAAAATTAATACATGGCAAAAGACTGGACACATTTATTATTAGTATAAATAACCCTATTTCCACTCACGTGTACATATAATGTGTTAATGTGACACCATAAAAACATATAACCTTTTTACATTCTCAATAATTTTATAATAAAAAAATAATTGCTAACTATATATAATACAACGTTAATATTAATTAAATAATCCAATAAAACACTTACTTAAAAAAATAATCCAATCAAAATATTAAGTATATATAACTTTATTTATATGTATACCGATCAAAATACAAAATACTTAGCATATAAACAAAAATATATCATTCAAATCCTGTCTCAAGGGTATAAAGAATTTGTTTGAGTTGGGGTTCCAACCTGCCTCAAGCAAATCTTTGGAAAAATTTTGGGAGCTAGAGGATGTGCTTTCCTCCTCGAATGAGAGATTAGTCTCATCCTTCCTCTGGTAGCGAAGCTTAATGCATCCGCTGTTCTAATAAGCGGCTAGCCTACGAGGACAAAGTGACTAAACGATTGAACGGAAATACCTCCAAAGGTTATAAAATATATATATATATATATATATATATATATATATATATATATATATAGGGGAGGGATCATTTGACTCCAGAGTAAGATTTAAAAGTCTTACTCTTCATCCCAGCCTTTGATTTCCGTTCATCCAACGGTTATCATTTAGTAATTTAATGCATTAATTAATTATTAATTTCAAATAAATGATAACCGTTGGATGAACAGAAATCAATGGCTGGGATGAGGAGTAAGACTTTTAAATCTTACTCTGGAGTCAAATGATCCCTCCCCATATATATATATATATATATCATTCAGATAACTGGAAAACATTAACATACAAGTTACTACACATTGTGCGGGTTAAACACCTAATTAACAAACATTTGCAAGTAAACAAGAAAAGCGGAAGGAAATGATATGGAACATAAAAGTAAGGGTATAAAGAAAAGAACGGAGGGACTCTCCAACTTTCCTTTCCATAAATCCAATTCCAATAAAAAAAGCAGCAACCCATGATTTCCGGGACCGTTGGGACATTGCAGCCTTGACGGCGATGTTTATGATCATAAACAACTGGACATTCTATTTAAATAATGAATAATTCTTATTTTATTTTTCTCAATAAAAAATAAACAAAGAAAATAAGAAATAATCTACTCTAAACTCACAAGGCGTTGACCGTATTTGCCACGACAGCACAATCGCCCACGTTCGATCATCGCAAAGATTGACGATGACATGTGATCGTGAAGGTCACACTCAATCGACATTTAACGGTGTGTGATGTTCTGTTAGCGTGATATATATATATATATATATATATATATATATATATATATTTTTTTTTTTTTTTTCCTTATTGGATAATGGCAATTGGTATCTCATGGTTTAATATTATAAGCATTTTGTTCTTTTGAATTAAAAGGTTATTTCCAATTATATTCATTTTAATGTCAATGGCCGGGGAAGAGGTGCACCCTCTGACTCTGACCCCATTGCCATTTTTCCCAGGTACTTTTTTTTTTTAATTTTATTTTTTATGGTTTGGTTTTTCATTGAATTTGATCATATGAGTGATTTTCAATTTGTTCATTTTTCTCTTTTTCTAAGCATAATAATTATTATTTCCCTGAATTTATTGCTTTCAGAATAGTCTAGATCGCGATCGGAGACGCTTGATTTTGCGAAGAAGTGGAATTTCTATAATTCGAATAGATAGGTTCCTGATATTCCTTTCTGTGAATTGTTGGTAAGTTAATATAGTTTCTATCTCATGTTTGGTTCTGAAATTTCGACGTTAAACCCTGAACGAGCTCTTAATTGAGCAGAATTTGACTCGGTTTGTGAATATCGCTTGTGAATTCGTGTGAAATTTTAAGTTCTCGTCACTGGAATGTTAATGGTGGAGGCAATTTTTAAAGTGAATTTGTTATTCAATATATTTCAGGGGAGGGTTTGTGAATTCATAGGAAAATGGGGGTTATGTCCAGGCGGGTTGTACCCGTCTGTGGTAACCTCTGTGTGTGTTGTCCTTCTCTGCGTGCAAGATCACGACAACCGGTGAAACGTTACAAGAAGTTGATTGCTGATATCTTCCCACGTAATCAGGTGAAATTTTCAGCTCATGTTGTTATAATCTTTGCTTGGTAGTTGTTAGTCCTAGGGGGCTGAAGAATTTCAAGTTAACTTAGCAATTATTTGCAAATGTATACATCAGATGGTTGATTCATTTACTTTTTTACTAACCCTTATTGGTAATGCCATCTTGTGGTTCAGTGTTATTGCTCTTAATGGCTGGTGTGTTTATGAATAATATGATTTTCAGTTTTTTGAAGAGAAGTACGGGAAGAGTTTTTGTATTTGGAGCCCCTCTCAGCCATTTGCCTCTCTCCTACCCTGGCCAAACCAAATTAAAAGAAAAATAATTTTCTGATTCACATGATTATGACTGTGTTTTGTAGGTTGCTGAACCTAATGATAGGAAAATTTCAAAGCTATGTGAGTATGCTTCTAAGAATCCATTGAGAATTCCCAAGGTAATATCATTCTTAGAAGTTTTCTCTCTCCTTTTTTTTTGGTAACAAGTGTTCTCTCTCCTTTGCTGTCACTTCTAGTCCAGTTGTATCATGTAATCAATAAAATTATGATATGATGGAGGATATTTACATAATAATTGTTAGAAACTATTTGATTTGATTAAGATATCGTAGTATAAAATATAAATTATAAAATATGGTTCAACCTAAAAGCTCAAGCTATTAGGTGAAGGCCACATTAATAGTTTTATATTATATTTCTCTAACACACCATAGTAGTCAATATCTCATAAGTATCATACCAAATCCCATCAATCGAATCGTTTTTTCGAGAAATACGAGACATCTAAGTCATACAAGTCAAGCGATTTATTCCTTGATAAGAAAAAAAAACGTGAATGGTGATTGGATTGATGATAAAATAGAATCCTGGGCCGCAAGCCGCTCCAGTTGCGCTTTGCGGAACTTCGCCGCAACCATTCTCGCCGCGCCGCTCCAGATTGCAATAGCGGTTGTTGCGGCCGCATTTGCTGCCAAATCTCGCCGCAACAGTGCCTTTTTATGGTTTTAACCCTAACCCGCTCTCCCTTTCTGTCTCTCTGTTGTGTGTCTCTCTTCTGCCTCTCATGCTACTCTTTATCGCGCTCGTTTCTTCCCTTCTCTACTTCTCTCTTATAGTATTGAAGTTCAATGCGGAAGCCATGAACAAAGAAGCAAAGCTTTGAGTGAGAGAGAGAGAGAGAGCAGATAACGGAGAAAAGAAGAAAAAGTGAGAAAAATAGTAATAGAGAGAGAGAACAGATGAAGGAGAAAAGGAGAAACTGTGAGAGAGAACGGATGAAAGAGAAAAAGAGAGAAAGTGAGAAAGAAAGAGATTCTGATCTATCTTCATTCAAAGAAAAGAAAAGTACATTAGTCAGAAAAGTGATTCACCAGTCACGGTAACCAAGTAACCTGGTTACAGTAACAGAGGGTAAAACTATTTCTGTATCCAAAAAAAAAAAGAATGAATCATTAAAAGGTAACTAAGGTAAAATAGTAAAGTATTATTTGTATTTTTTTAGGTGTTTTTATTTTTTTAATAATTTATTATGTTATATATATATATATATATATATATATATATATATATATATATATATAATTTGGTTTTTTAATATATATATTTTTTTCGCTATTTCCGCAACTGCAACCCGCAATAATGCTATAGCGGTTTTGAGGGTTGGCCGCAATCCGCATTTGATAACTATGTAACACACTCCCTCACGCAAGAGCCCATTGGACTTGAAGGGTGGACAATGCACAGGCCCACCTACCTGTTTTGAGAGACTCCATAATATTTAATTATTTATAAATAGAATAGGGCGGGATTGAATTCGTGATTAGTGGTCACATAGGCTCTATCATGTAACACAACCAATTCAACCAAAAAGTTCCAAGTTATTAGGTGAAGGCCCATTAATGGTTTTATATTATATTTCTCTAATAGGCTTCCGTCCAATCACGTGTTTGATAAAACTGAAAATCTAAGTACAGAAATTTTTGGTGACGAAATTTGAAGCACTGATTTGTAATGGGGGTTATGTCCATGCACTTTGATCATTTAGTATTTTGAATGATGCTATGCTGAAGGAAGTTATTGTGCTGAATGTGTTTAGTGACCTCCCATGTGTTGAATGTTTTCATCACTGTTTTCGCCTAATTTTAGTTTGGCATGTATTAAATTTAAAGAAATACCGTTAAATCAATTTAAGTGCTGAATCTTTTAATTTTCAGGATTGAATTGATCTCTGATATATCCTAAGTTTTTGTGGTGTTTCATGCTGGCAGATTACTGATAACTTGGAACAACGATGTTACAAGGATTTGCGTAATGAAAGCTTTGGTTCAGTGAAAGTTGTCTTGTGCATATACAAGAAATTGTTATCCTCATGTAAGGAGCAGATGTAAGTTTTATGCCACATAAGTTAAGTGTGTATTCCTTGGATTGCATTGTTATTTGATCCTGTAAAGAACCGTGGGATACACCACCCCAAAAGCTAGCTCAAAGGGTGGGAGTGTCCAAGGTCTTATAAACTCCACATTAGTTGCACATACAACCAATGTTGGACTATATATCTCAACACGCCCACTCACACGAGAGCCCATTGGGCTTGAAGAGTGGACAATGCAACAGGCCCAGCCTACCTGTGCTAAGAAATTTCACAAGAGAAAGTGGGGGGCGGCGAGGATTGAACCCGAGACACGAGGCTCTGATACCATGTAAAGAACCTTAGGATACACAACCCCAAAAACTAGCTCAAAGGGTGGGAGTGCCCAAGGCATTATAAACTCTACATTAGTTGCTCATACAACCAATGTGGGACTATATATCTCAACACGCCCTCTCACACAAGAGCCCATTGGGCTTGAAGAGTGGACAATGCAACAGGAAAAAGTGGGCCTATATATCTCAACAGATCCCAAATAAGTTTGATGGAACAAAAGGGGTGCTTGAGGGAAGAGGGGGGGGGGGGGATTTATCTTCCCAATTCCAAGATTTTGCACTGTAACAGTATTACAATGCAGAAGGCATTTTAAAATTTATGGACATATATGAGTTTTTTTTTGTGTCAAGGTATCATTCATGTAAGATCTTGGGTGTATAGGACTATGGGTAATGATTTATACGATCAATTTACTTCAAATGAGTAGTCTTAATTTATATAATCCAATTAGAAACCCTTTTTGAAATATGATTTCATATAGAACTCTTTCTTTTTCCTATAATTCTCTTTTGTATTTTGAACTTTGAAGCAGGGTCATGCAGTGTCAATAAAGTTCTGGTTCATTTGTTTTTCTATAATTGGATACTGCTTTTTATTTTACTAAGTAATAATATTCAAATGATGCTTCTTATTCTTGCAGGCCACTTTTTGCCAATAGTTTATTAGGGATCATTCGGATTCTTCTAGAGCAAACTCGAGCAGATGAAATGCGGATCTTAGGTTGCAATACTCTTGTAGAATTTATAGATTGCCAGGTATTTGATTATTTTACCTTTCTTACTTGTTAGTGTTAAAAATCACTGTAGGGTTGGCTCATGTGCATGTTATGTGAGTGATTTACCACCCCCTTTGAAGCAGATTAACTGATTTAAATTTAACGTTACAGTCTGCATTATAAGTCTTGCTACTGTATATGTATTGCATTTTGCCTTTTTTGATATTGACCTGGTGAGTTAAAAGTAGACAGATGGTACGTACATGTTCAACTTGGAGGGTTTTATCCCGAAACTTTGTCAATTGGCTCAAGAAGTGGGAGATGATGAACGAGCTCTGCTTCTTCGTTCTGCTGGACTACAAGTTCTATCCTATATGGTAATGCTCTTTCTCTGGTTCATTTGTTACTAGAATTTGCTTATGCATTTCCACAAATTCATAAAATGTAGGGACTTCTCATTTCTATGATATTTCTTTATAAAATGTAGTGATTTCCAACTTTTTTAATTCAGTAGAGTGTTATTAAAAAACGAAGCTGTGGTAATTCAAAGAGTGGATTGAAATTTACCAAAATTAAAGAGTGAAAGTGGTATGTGCCAAAAGAAATAAAGACTGAAAATGATAGTCTGTAGTAATTTAAGCTGTAGAAGGCTAGAAGCTTTATTTTCCAAAACAATTGTAAAAGCAAGATATTTAAATCATTTGAACTGGTTAGCAGTTACTTTGTTCCAACCACAGTACCTTTTATCAATTTCCCTTGAAGTTCTGGTACCTTCCCTTGATGCTTTTTGTTCTTTCACCCTATGTTTTTCTTTTACCAGGTGAAGTTCATGGGGGAGCACTCACATCTTTCGATGGATTTTGACAAAGTGAGTATTATTTCCAGACTTTTGTTCCTTTAACCTGTTGATTGATACCAGCAGTGACATACAGCTAAGGGTTGCATTGGACATTGAAGTTTAGTTTCTACAATTTCTTTCTTTTTTCCAAATTTTGAACCACAACTTGGGTTTTGAATTTTGAGGTTAGTTTACACTTGAAGCTAAACTTTTTTTGTCAATCTATTTATTTTCTTTTTTGTTTCTTGTTGGATGGGTGGATTTTGGAATAAGATTATATCAGCGATTTTGGAGAATTACATGTATCTCCAATCTAAATCCGACCTTGCCAAGGTAGAGAAACTGAATTCACTATCTCGGAATCAATTGGTTCAAGGATTTCCTAAAGAAGAAGACCGTATACATTCTGTACCAGAAATCACTAAGAAGGAACCTTCCTTGCTGAATATTGTGACAGGAACTGAGAGAGATTCCAAGTTGTATGCCGTCTCTTACTGTTCTCTCTCCCTTTATTATGAAGATAACATCCATGATCCCGACAGCCCTTATGCTTTCACCATTTTTACAGGGATACTGCTAAAGATCCTGCTTATTGGTCAAAGGTTTGCTTGTATAATATAGCCAAATTGGCGAAGGAAGCTACGACTGTGCGACGTGTCCTCGAACCACTTTTTCATAATTTTGATGCTGAAAACCACTGGTCTTCCGAAAAGGGAGTTGCTTCTTGTGTTTTGATGTACATGCAGTCCCTTTTAGCAGAATCAGGTAGCCTTGTAACATTCAGTGTTATAATTTTCCTTAAATATGAAGTTTTCTCTAATTTTTTAGGTAATTGATTATCACTTTTTGAACACCAGGAGATAACTCCCATCTTCTGTTGTCCATTTTGGTCAAACACTTGGATCACAAGAACGTCGCCAAGAAGCATATCCTGCAGATTGATATTATTAACACAGCCACACAGCTCACAAAAAATGTGAAGCAGCAGGCTTCAGTTGCAATCATTGGTGCAATATCTGACCTCATTAAACATTTAAGGAAGTGCTTGCAAAATTCAGCTGAAGCATCCAGCATTGGAGGTGATGAATATAAGTTGAATACTGAACTTCAGTCTGCCTTAGAAATGTGTATATTACAACTGTCAAACAAGGTATGTGTGCTAACAGTATGCATCAATTTTTTGTTTGTCTTTCGAACTTTATATCATATGACAACCTGAATTCTTATTTTATAGATGATTAGTAAATTTCTATACGTCTTTTACTCCTCTCTTTTTTGAATAGAAATTATCTTGATGTTTTGAGCAACTAAATTCCAAAAGAAGTATTATGATTGAGTAAGTTGCAACAGTCTTGTCACACTGCTTCTACTATATCAGGTTGGGGATGTAGGACCCATTCTTGATTTGATGGCTGTGGTGCTAGAGAATATATCGACTACTACCATCATAGCAAGATCAACAATCTCTGCTGTCTATCAAACGGCAAAATTGATCACTTCCGTCCCTAATGTGTCATATCACAAGAAGGCTAGTGTTCTTACTTATGCTGGAAATGGGTTGTTTTTTTACATGCTCAGCTTTAGTAAACTGTCTAAATTTTTTATTTATTCTTGGGCCTTTCCAGGCTTTCCCTGATGCCCTGTTTCATCAATTGCTCCTGGTCATGGCTCATCCAGACCATGAAACACAAATTGGAGCGCATAGTGTCTTCTCTATGGTGCTTATGCCGTCCATGTTTTCTTCTTCGTTAGACCAGAAAACAAAGATTGCTCAGAAGGTCCAGAGTGACAGCTTCTCCATTCAGCATGAAAGCTTTTCTGGAGTAGAACACTTGAATGGGAAACTGGTAGAAGGAAAGGCAATAGCAGGTGTCAACGAGAAGAAATATGCAGTTCATCCATATCATGGTTATAGCTTTACTAGTGCACTAACCAATGGAAAAGATGTATGAAATTTTTTACTTGTCATTATTAATTGTGTGAATTTAATAGTGTTTTTTTGGTTGGGGGTGAGCTGTTCCTCTGACTATAGTTTAATTTTATTGATTCATGTTTGAATTATTTTAAACACGTGGTTCAGTTATTTTGGTTGTTTCTTTTTTTTCCCCCCAATAATGGGGACCCTGGATATTTCGTTTGCTGTAGTTCCTAACCAAATGTTTTATGTCTGAAATTTTCAGGATATAAGTTCTCTTAGGTTGAGCAGTCACCAAGTGAGTCTCTTGCTTTCTTCAATCTGGGTTCAGGCAACATCTGTGGAAAATGGCCCTGCAAATTATGAGGCGATGGCGCACACTTATAGCATTGCTTTATTATTTACTCGTTCTAAGGTGAGATTGGTGCATACCAAGTATGATGATTTCTTTTAAAAATTTGTGCTCAGTAAATACTACCAGAAATCACTTCGCTGGTTTGGTTTAGTTGTTACTCATTCATAATTGTCTATATTGTTAATTGCCAGTATAGAAATTGCTGTGTGTGTCTCTTGTACTATTATTCGTACATGGGTTCCCATATAGCTGCCTAGTCATGAAAGTGCAATTAACCATAAGAGCAACTTTAAAAAGAGTATTTCAATTTGGTTGAAATTGTTTCCAGCATTTATTGGCAGTGATAAGCATTTTGACAGGAGTTCACATCTTTTATGAAATGAAGAAAAAATGTAATTCATATTTTTTTTTAACATTAATCTTGATAGCTTTTAAAAATACATAATGTTACATGATTAATTTTTCTAAGTTCATATGTTAATTGCTTTTCACAGACATCCAGTTACACGGCTTTAGTAAGATGCTTCCAACTGGCATTCTCCCTCAGGAGCATCTCTTTGGACCAAGAAGGTAAGTGGGGTGTACGGGTATTTTTTACTCTGTAGGAAAGATTGTCATAGAGAATTCATGTATCTATGGAATCGAGGCTTGTAAATGGAATAATTATTTCATGACCTTTTAAATACCAATCAAATGAATGTGCATTCCCATGGAATGGAAGCAAGAGCGGAATCAAAATTCTAGCGTTCCAAAAATGTTCTGCTATAGCTGAAATTTCAGTTGAGAATCTGGTGAATATTTTCTGTAAAAAACCAATTCAACCCAAAAGCTTAAATTAGTGAGTTAGGCTATATTAATGATTTATATATCTGTAACACGCCCCCTCACACGAGAGTCCACTGGGCTTAAAGGGTGGACAATGCACAGGCTCATCTATCTGTGCGAAGAAATTTCACAAGAGAAAGTGGGGGACGGTCAGGATCTAACCTGTGACAACCAGGCTCTAATACCATGTAAAGAACTATTTTAACCCAAAAGCTTAAGCTGGTGGGTAAGGCTATATTAATGGTTTTATATATCTTTAACTTTGGTTCTTTACATGGTATCAGAGCCTCGGTGTCCCGGGTTTGATTCTCGCTGTCCCCCATTTACTTTGTGGAATTTCTTAGCACAGGTAGGTTGGGCTTGATGTAAAGAACCTTGGGATACACCACCCCAAAAGCTAGCTCAAAGGGTGAGAGTGCCCAAGACCTTATAAACTCCACATTAGTTGCACATACAACCAATGTGGGACTATATATCTCAACACGCCCCCTCACACGAGAGCCCATTGGGCTTGAAGAGTGGACAATGCAACAGCAACAGGCCCAGCCTACCTGTGCTAAGAAACGCCACAAGAGAAAGTGGGGGGCGGCGAGGCTCTGATACCATGTAAAGAACCTTGAGATACACCACCCCAAATGCTAGCTCAAAGGGTGGGAGTGCCCAAGACCTTATAAACTCCACATTAGTTGCACATACAACCAATGTGGGACTATATATCTCAACATGTAGAAAATCAGAATTCAAATTCAAATATTTTTCCGTTTTTATTTATTAGGAATAATTAAGATTAATTAGGATTGATTGTTTTTTATTTCCTATTAGTTAGGATTAATTGTAATTAATTAGAATTAATTGTGATTAGGTTTAGTGAGTCATAGCTGAGTCATTCTTATGATTGTGATTAGGTTTGGTGAGTCATAGCTAAGTCATGCTTAGCTATTTTTTCTTGTATAAATACTCCTCATTCCTCTCATGTAATTATTCAATATCGATATACTGAAAACCTTTCTCAATATGGTATCAGAGCAGGTTGGTTCTGAGAAAACTCAGCCACCACAACCACCGTCAAACCGGCGGCACAACGCCGAAAAACTCAACCTCCAACCATTATTAAGGCAAAATCCCAGCTTTCCACCGCCGTCAGCCACCGTCAGCAGCCGTCGGAAAATTTTTCCGACGACATTTCCGACCAAAATCCGCACCATTCGAAACAGAAGGAGCCGATCTACAAGTTTCATGAAGGACCATCGGATTCTGCTGAGCCACGCGCCCCCACGCGCTAGAGAAAGGACGGAGCGTTCGCCCTACGCGTTACCACACGCAGCCACGTTGATTGAAAGTAAATTTCCATCCAGCAATGTTGCTCAACAAGGTATAGCGTTCCATGTTGATAATAGTAGTCGATGGATTCTTGATTCAGGGGCTTCAGATCATATGAAGGTAATGCAACCTTATTTTGTTCTTATACCCCTTACTATCAACAATCACGAATAAGAACAGCAGATGGCAGCTTCTCTACTATTGCTGGAAAAGGATCCATTAAACTTTCTGAACACATTACTTTGAACTCAGTCCTTCATGTTCCCTCTCTTACTTGTAACCTTATCTCTATCAGCAAACTTACGTCTGAGTTACATTGTGTTGCCAAGTTTTCTGTCAATGCTTGTGTTTTCCAGGAACAGGACTCGGGACTGATGATTGGCAGTGCTAGAGAGGAAGAAGGACTTTATTATTTAGAAAAAGATTCTTGTGAAGGAAAAAATTTTGTGAACCACTCGGTATGTTTGTCTGATGATTGTAATGATGTTTTGTTGTGGCATCGTCGGTTAGGACACCCAAATTTCATTTATCTTCAGAATTTGTTCCCAAGCTTATTTATCAATAAAAATCCCAGTTCTTTTTCTTGTGATATTTGTCAGCTTGCAAAACATTCTCGTGTTTCTTATCCTCCTAGAGTCCATCATGATTCTTCTCCATTTACCTTGATTCATAGTGATATATGGGGTCCAGCCCGTGAAAAAAATATCTCTGGTGCTCGTTGGTTTATAACTTTCATAGATGATCACTCTAGGGTATGTTGGGTATACCTTCTAAAGGATAAGTCTGACGCTGCATCCATTTTTAAAAACTTTCATGCTATGGTTCAAACTCAGTTCCAGACCTCTATCCAAATTCTTCGAACTGACAATGGTACTGAATATTTTAATTCTGTTCTTGGAAACTATCTCAGCCAGCATGGTATTCTTCATCAAAGTTCTTGTCCTAACACCCCTCAACAAAATGGTGTGGCTGAAAGAAAAAATAGACATCTCCTTGAAGTTGCTCGAGCTCTTATGTTTACCTTGCATGTCCCTAAATATTTGTGGGGGGAAACTGTCTTGACTGCAGCATACCTCATCAATCGGATGCCTTCTCGTGTCCTAAATTTTCAATCTCCCTTATCTTGTCTTACCCACACCTTTCCTTATTTCCGGGCTCATTCTTCCCTTCCTCTCAAGTTGTTTGGCTGTGTGGCTTTTGTACATGTTCCTCCCCATCAAAGGTCCAAGCTCGATCCTAAGTCCATTAAATGTGTCTTCATAAGATATCCTCCTAACCAAAAGGGCTACAAGTGTTACTCATCTTCACTTCGTAAGGTCTTTGTTTCTATGGATGTCACATTTGATGAGAGACAATCTTTTTTTCCTTCGACTTCTCTTCAGGGGGAGTCTATTGGGGTTGATGAAGATAAGTCTTGGAAACCAAATGATTCTGTTGTTTTGCCTTTGTCGTTGGAGACAGGGGGAGTCATTATGCAAAAGACAGGGGGAGTTAATGTGTCAGATAATGGAGATCCTCCCGGGAAATGGGGAAAGTTTTACAGCAGGCGAGAATCACCTCAGGAGCCTCTAGACTGTCAGGATTCTGACTCGAGTCTTAGTTCCAGCAACACTGATGCAGCCAACCTAGATGTCCCTATTGCTCTCCGAAAAGGTACTAGATCTTGTACTGCTCATCCTATTTCTCATCATATCTCATATGAAAAGTTGTCCCCAGGTTTTCGTGCTTTCAACACTATGTTAGACAGTACAAAAATACCAAAAAATATCCAAGAAGCACTTGATGATCCAAAATGGAGGAATGCAGTCTTTGAAGAAATGGATGCACTCAACAAAAATGGAACTTGGGAGTCTGTAGCATTACCCAGAGGAAAGAAAACAGTAGGTTGCAAGTGGGTGTTCACAATAAAGTTTAATGCAGATAACAACATCAACAAGTATAAGGCCAGACTGGTTGCTAAGGGATTCACTCAAACTCATGGGATAGACTATCAAGAGACATTTGCCCCTGTTGCCAAGCTTAATACTATCCGAGTTCTTTTATCACTTGCTGCAAATCTTGGTTGGCCCTTGCAACAATTAGATGTAAAGAATGCTTTCTTGAATGGTGATCTACATGAAGAAGTTTATATGGATCCACCACCTGGTTTTGAAAAAGGAGACGATTCAGTATGCAAGTTGAAAAAGTCTCTCTATGGTCTTAAACAATCTCCTAGAGAGTGGTTTGAGAAGTTTACTCAAGCTGTTAAGGGAAGAGGATTCCTCCAAGCTCAGACTGATCACACTTTATTTTTAAAACACTCTAATGGTGGTAAAATTGCTATTCTCATTGTTTATGTTGATGACATAATTGTCACAGGTAATGATTGTGAGGAGATAAGCTCTTTGAAGAAATGTTTAGCTAATCAGTTTGAACTGAAGGATCTTGGATCTCTCAAATATTTCCTAGGCATGGAAGTTGCTCGAAGTAAGGCAGGAATTTCTTTAACTCAGAAGAAATATATTCTAGACCTCTTACAAGAAACAGGAATGCTTGGGTGCAAGCCAGCAGAGACTCCAGTTGAACCCAATATTAAATTGGGAATCGAAGATGGGAAAGAAGTTGACAAAGAGCAGTATCAGAGATTGGTGGGGAAGTTGATCTACTTATCTCACACTTGGCCTGATATTGCATTTGCAGTTAGCATGATTAGTCAATTCATGCATTCTCCTAAGGAAAAACACATGAGTGCAGTTTATAGAATTCTGAAGTACCTCAAAAACACCCCTGGTCGAGGATTGTTCTTTAAAAAGGGACACAAGAGGATGATTGAAATATATACAGATGCAGATTGGGTTGGCTCTGCATTGGACCGAAGATCCACTTCAGGATATTGCACCTATATTTGGGGAAATCTTGTGACCTGGAGAAGTAAGAAACAAACAGTTGTTGCCCGGAGCAGTGCAGAAGCAGAATTTCGGGCTCTAGCCCATGGTATTTGTGAAGGAATTTGGTTAAGAAGACTCCTTGAGGAATTGAAGATCTCTTTTTTCCCACCTGTCAGAGTGTATTGTGATAATAAGGCTGCTGTCAGTATTTCTCAAAATCCAGTTCACCATGACAGAACAAAACATGTGGAGGTTGATCGCCACTTTATCAAAGAAAAAATAGATGATGGAAGTGTATGTATGGTGTATATTCCTACCAAAGAGCAGATTGCAGATATTCTCACTAAGGGCCTACACCGGCCAGCCTTTGAAGACTTGATTGGCAAGTTGGGAATGATCAACATTTACCTCCCAACTTGAGGGGGAGTGTAGAAAATCAGAATTCAAATTCAAATATTTTTCTGTTTTTATTTATTAGGAATAATTAAGATTAATTAGGATTGATTGTTTTTTATTTCCTATTAGTTAGGATTAATTGTAATTAATTAGAATTAATTGTGATTAGGTTTAGTGAGTCATAGCTGAGTCATTCTTATGATTGTGATTAGGTTTGGTGAGTCATAGCTGAGTCATGCTTAGCTATTTTTTCTTGTATAAATACTCCTCATTCCTCATGTAATTATTCAATATCGATATACTGAAAACCTTTCTCAATATGATGCATCATCCACCTTTCAAGCCCAATGGGCTCTCTTGTGAGGGGGCTTGTTAGAGATATATAAAACCACTAAAATAGCCTTACACACTAGCTTAAGCTTTTGGGTTGAATTGGTTCTTTACATAGTTCCAGAGCCTCGTGTCCCGGGTTCGATCCTTACCGCCTCCCACTTTTTATATGGAATTTATTAGCACAGGTAGGTGGCCTGTGCATTATTCACCCTTCATGCCGAGTGGGCTTTCGTGTGAGAGGGCGTGTTAGAGAAGTATATAAACCATTGATGGACCTTCACTTAATAGCTTAAGCTTTTAGGTTTAATTGGTTCTTTACATTTTCTGACATATTTCTTTTCATGCCTGTTAAAGGAGGCTTACTACCATCTCGCAGGAGGTCCCTTTTTACCTTGGCTTCATACATGCTTATATTCTCTGCCAGGGCAGGCAATTTTCCCGATCTAATTCCAAAACTTAAAGCATCCTTGACACAGGCAACAGTGAGTTTCTTCTCCTTACCTCTTGACTCGATCCCCATTCCACGTCCTTGCTCTGCAGTTTCCAGTTAAATTTGAGTGTCACTGTTTTCAATTTTTTTTAATTAAGATTAGGTTGTCTAATTAAAGTCATAAATCCACAGGTAGATCCTTTTCTTGAATTGGTAGATGATGTTCGGCTGCAGGCTGTTTGTATAGAATCACAGAAGATAATTTTTGGATCTCCGGAAGATGAAGTTGCTGCTATGAAGTCACTTTCAGCTATAGAATTGGATGACAAGCAGTTGAAAGAGACTGTAATATCGCACTTTATGACTAAATTTTCAAAGTTGTCCGAGGTAATATGACTAAATTGACTGTAATATGCTTTGAGAATTAATAGTGGTACTTTTAGCCTAAGTTAATATTCAATTAAGTTATTTCCTAAAGAAACGTGGTTTTGTTTCTCTATTATGTACCCACAGACAACCCCTCAGCATGCAATAGGGAAAAAAGTAAAGAAAAATGTAGAGTTTCACATGTTCAAATAGAAGGATAGCTATATGAGAGCAACAAGTACAAAGGAGAAAATAAATGTAGGAGGGTAGTAGTGAGGATTGATTGTATTTTGGTTTGCTTCACTGACAATATTTACTGGAGTGATGAATAATTGCTACTGCATCACCATTGAACTTCTGAGTAGCAATAATGTGGAAGTTTAGGAGAGATAATGATTTGAATGTCTGATCAAGTGGTTAATACTGATTGAATATAAGTAAGTCAAAAGGTTGCTTTTGGTTCAATTTTGTATCTTTGTGCTCAGTTAAATGTGTGGCTCATGCACACACTTTTGTTCTGGAAACTGTCAAAGTAATTTTTTTCTCACGTAAAATAATACTTGCACATATCATGTGAGGTATGTGCAGGATGTGGACCCTTCAGCAGAAGTTGCAGTGGAGTGGCTTGCAGAGGAATATTTGGGTAGTGCATAAATATGTGGAAATAACATGATTTTTTTCCTTAATTACCAGGATGAGTTGTACAGCATAAACAAACAACTTCTACAGGGGTTTTCTCCTGATGATGCATATCCATCAGGACCTCCATTGTTTATGGAGACACCAAGGCCATGGTCTCCACTTGCTCAGATTGAGTTCCCAGATTTCAATGAGGTAAATTACTCTAAAATTGCATCTCCATTTAGAAGCTCTTGAAAACTTTCGTGTGACATACTGTGATTGGTTTTCCAGATATTGGCTGAAGATGATTTGATGGATGAAGAGACTGGGCCTGAACCAAGTGGAAGTCAGTCAGATCGCAAAACATCATCCTCAACCAATAACCCTGAAGTTCTTAGTGTTAATCAACTCTTGGAATCGGTAAAAATTGATATTCTTTTTCTTCAATCTAACTGATAAGGATGTGATTGTATTTTGAATCAATTTTTAATACTTCTGCTGGAGAGTGGAGACTATGTTTCTTCTCTTAAAGATACTATGGGGATTATTGTATGTATAGGTTTTGGAAACTGCACGGCAAGTTGCAAGTTTCTCCACTTCTTCAACTCCTTTACCTTATGACCAAATGAAGAACCAGTGCGAGGCACTTGTAACGGGGAAACAACAGAAGATGTCAGTTATTCACAGTTTCAAGCACCAACAGGAGACTAAGGCCATAATACTTTCAAGTGAAAACGAAGTTAAAGTTTCCCCTTTTCCTGCTAAGGTTAGTATTTTTTACAAAAGTTTAAATCAGTATAGGAAAATATGTTATGAAAGAATTTTTCTTCAGGATCTATTGGGCATTCAATTGGTTATAATGGTCTTGGTTGTTTAGAGTGTTGGCTGTCATGGTTGATTATTTTAGGTGGGGTTCGAACAAATTATTGACCAAATATTCATTATTAAAAAAAATGAAACTCATGCATAAACTCAGCAGCATATGCTCATTTGTCATAATATACTTCTGTTTTAAACCATTGTCAGTGGATAGTATCTTCTGCAGTATCAGGATTCACAGCCAATGATATAAATTTGTTTCATAACCTCTTGATTTCTTTTGAATTTTATTAACCAGTTAGTTATATAATAACTAGCGACTTAGTGTTAATGATATATTTGGAGAGGATATGAAAATATACCGTAAAGCTTAGTTATCATTTGTTTTTTTTATTGCTACATATAATTGAGAGGAAGACCATTCTGTCATAATCAGGTTTTAATTAAACCCATGAATATTTTGGCATGTATTCATGTCTTGTTCCATGCTTTATGAGGTGGGGACTCACACACCAGAGGAGGCATGATACATGACAATTAGGCAGAAAGTGAGGCTATGCGTCTATGTTGCACCGACATGGGATACGACACGTCACGCCGACATGTTAATTCTAAAAAATATTAAATTTCGACACGTTAGAACACGTTTTGATATTAAATAATATTTTTTTAACATATGTAATATAGCTTACATTTAATTCATATAGCAGTGCATAATAAATCATATAACCAATCAAATATTCAAATTTCATAACATAAATATAAAGCAAAAATAATTTTTCATATCAAATTCCATAACAGAAAATATTTGATTTATAAATTAATTTTTCATGTTTAGTTAAAAAGATAAAATAAATAAATTCGGATCTAAAAAAAAATAAGGCATGTCGGAAAATATTAACCGTGTATTCGACGCGTGGTGGTGTGACACGCATTTTTCATAAAAATTAATGTGTCGGTGCTTTTTAGCTATGCATAGAGTTTAGTTGTTTTATTTTATGGAAAGAATAATTATTTGTTGGCATTGTGCTGTTGTGTAGGCACTAGAATATTCAAAAGGTGATCTGAAGTTAGTGATTCAGGAACAATTTCAAGCGCAGGATCAAGTCCACTTCCGTTCACATGACACTGGAAAGCAACATTCTTTGAGACTACCACCTTCGAGCCCCTACGATAAATTCTTGAAGGCTGCGGGATGCTAATGAAACTAGATTGCAACAAATGCAACTTTTTTTTTTTTTTTTTTTTTGCATTGATGGTATACTAAATGTTTCTTTATGGTTTCTACCATTCATGCCCAAAATGCGGGAAATGTTGTATTTTTTATTTTGGTTTAGGGGGGAGGAAGTTTCCAGCAAATATATGATTGTCTATAAATATTCGTAATATGTCGATAATTAAACGGTTCTTTTTTTTTAGTGAATAAAGGATCTTGTGGATACTTCTCTTTTACCGTCTTTTTCTCCCGTTCTCTTGTGAAAATCAAATGCTAGAAGCTCCTCATGAGTCATGAGGAATGAATTCCTGTACTGCTGTAACGCTTTTCTGCCTACCAAATTAAATTACCAAGTAAGCAAATTCTCGGCCAATTCTTATATGTATATTTTGGTCTGTATTAGACCATTACCAACCTTCTCGTTGTTTGTTCGCTATGTATTTAAAAAAGAAAGAAAATGTAATGCTATCTCGGATCGCCATGGACAACACTCATTTGCGGTCGAAAGTTCCATGCAATGTCTGCGTATTTAAATTAACACATACTAACACTGCAGTTTCCTTAATATTCATACTTTACAGGGAAAAACCAAGAACCGAACAGAAGAAATAAACCAAAAAAGCCATTTTATGCATTCAATTACTGGTCTGATTTTGCCATACTTCTTAAGTTGGCCAACATCTGAGCAGCAGCTGATTCTCTAGCTTCACGAGGACAGGAACACATGTTACCCCCAAATGAACACTCAAAGTCTAGTCCTTTAACGGTTACATTAGCTTGGAATCCACCTTCAAAAGGTACTCGTCAAATTTATATGCAAGTCACATGCATGATAATTACTCAACATAGATATATAAACAAGTAAGCAACTAACGGTCATTAATACTCATAAAGGTGAATTAAACATTGCAATTATAAGTGGAATGATTAATTAACAGGTTAGATAGACTTACCATCTGATTGAGATAAACGATAAGTCGGAAGGACCCAATTATTTTCATCACATACACCATCTAGTTCCTGCAAGATTAAACAGAGTTCAAAGTACTTGTATGAAGATGAAGTTGACATCAACTGCTAATTAACAAGTCATTTCCTAGTATGCGAATAAAAGCAAAAAAATCCCTCCCAAAATATATACAAGTTAAAATGTCACACGAGACTAGAACAGATATCTGCGAGTAATATGTCGAACTAAGGTTCTTTAAAAAGATGCATACAGCACAAAATAACAAGAATTAACTGCCCATATGGGAACTCTTAGAAAGTAATAAATTAGAACATGTCTTGCCTGGCAAGAATTTTGCACAATGAGCACAGCCTCTCTCAATCTTTTCCTCTTGATATATGGAGATAAGCGTTTATCCTCAAGATGATGAGACATCCTTCCTTGATTTCTTACCCATGTATCATTACAGCCTTCTATGATGGTGTCTATCTTTAATTCCAAGTCATCTTCCCCGCCTAATTTTGTCAAGAAAACACAAAAACACAAGCAATAGCTTTTTATCTTTCACATGGACAAAATTTAAATGGTAGTGGAATGAGTCAGTTTACATAAGTCGATTACTGTCTCCTGCTCTAAGCCTCAAATATGAACAAAAAAATATCGGGATTGCATAATGCAGGACTGAAAAGATGGTTTATGGTTGATGCTATATGCAGTTACGAATCTTCTGGTGCAAAGGCAAACAAAGCTGGTGGTCAGTCATTAATACAGCATTCACACATTGAAAATTTAAGATTCTCAAAGCCTCAAAACAGCTTTAGATTCAATTCAAGGATAGAATGATAGATTAAGTTGGAGATGATCTTCATAAGTCAGATAATCCAACATAAGATACCTCAATAGATTTCAATTCAAGGCTATATACTCATTCTTTTGTTGAACTGCTTCTTTGCACTTAACATGCTTTTTTAATTTATGAGATCTAACACCAGGTATCCCCTAGAAAAATCCCACAGTTAGATGTGACAATGAAATGGGGCCAAATGCCTATAAGAAGCCATGTCCTAAACCAGTATCATATCTGCTTGAGAGCTTCTTTGATACTTGACCAGAAAATAAAGAATGAAGTTAATTACTGAGAATCACAGTGAAGGTTAAAGGAAAAAAGATTTGCTGATAGAAGAATGCACCAGAGAAGCAAAATAGAAAGCAAGGACAAACAACAGTAAAGGAAAACATACCGGTTAACATTCTTTGAATTTTTTTATCACACAAAGCAATCTCATCTTCTATCATGCGCTGCTGAAGAGCCTGCACAAAGAAAGTTAGTCTAAGATTGATAGGACCAGAGAGTAGTTAGTTAGAATCCCATGTTGTTCCTTTCATCTATTATAGACTTGGGTAATGGGTGTATCATTATTTCATCTATTAAGTCAAGTTACCAGTACATACTCATGAGTATGTGTTATAGGTGTCCATGCATAGCAACTGAGAATAAATATGATCATTCTTGTCATTCAAAGAAGCAATGAACAGGTGTTTACCAACGCATTCCTCTTTTGTATAAGAGCATTGAGGGCAGTTTGTGACAATGTCTTCCCCTTTGAAGCTAAAAGAATTTGGAGTTTCTCAAGTTCCAAGTTGGAATTATTTGCAATCAGGGCACATTCTTTTATGGAGTCTTTTTCGAAAGATGTATTGGCACAAATCTTATTACAAGCTGATTGATCTTTGATTATACCCTCAGTGATTAGCATCCTTGTTGAATCAACCTTCTCGGCCTGCCAAACCAAAGGCATGCATCTTGATGAGAGATAATAAATATTAGAATAAAACTTTGAAACTACAATTATTTTATAGAAAAAGAATTTTCGTTAAAAAAAAGGAAAAGTACAAGTAGGGGAACAATGATACTTTTTTGTCCTTACTAGTTTGCAACATCCAGATATTAAATCAGTTAAGCTCACCCACCTCATATTCTTTGGCATATTTGCAGGATAGATTTTACTACAGGAAAATATTTGGATTTAGCAATAACAAGTATAGAAAGAAAGAAATAAAGCTCCATGTGGTTTTCTATCGTTTGTTTATCTTTTATTAAGAAAATATTCCCATGGGAGCAACCTGCACAGGAAGTTCAATACAAGTAACCCACAAAGGTCTAAATGATATTAGAAGGGAGTCCAAAAGATAGCCATCCCATTGGAACAAGAATGACCATCAGTTTATAATATATCTAAACAGTCTAAGTTCTTGTGTCTTCTGCTCCATATCAGTGAAAACTTGTTCTTTTTCTCCCACAATTTTCTCTGAAAAACAAAAGCATTTTTAATCCAAGGGAAGAAAAAGAATAGTAAAATGATAGGACACGAAGATATTCAAAATGCATATTTTGCTTTTCAATAGAACACATCTAGCCTGACTAGGTAACTCTTAGAACCATTTTCTTATTTTATAAAAAATAGAAGCTAAACACCAATAGGCCTGTAGCTCAACTGGCACTAGTCCTAGTCTCTAAGATTGGGGTGTGATGATGAGGTTCTTGCACCTCTCGTAAGAATAAAAAAAATTATAAACCCCTCAATAAAACTCATCTGGATAACAAAGGAAAAAGTTACTTATTCTTGTCAAACTACAAAACTTTGTGAGTGCAGGTGTGTCTTAAGTGCAAGTATATAAACTAATTTTAAATTGTAATATACAGACATAAGAAATTAACATTTATAAATAAATTATTAATTAATGTATTAGTTAGTAAGAATGAACCAGTCTAATAAATAATAATTAAAATAATATTTCTTAAATAACAATGAAAAGAAAAAAAGCTATTGTAAATAACAATATAATAAAGGTGTTAAGAAATATTAGGAAGGAAAAGATACTATCATATCATCATTAAAGATACTAAAAATGGCAAATAATCTCAACTCAGCAAACAACTTATAGCAGTACTACATCAACTGCAGTCAGAAAAAGGAAAGTAATAAACAAAATAGTTAGTGAAAAGATAAATTTCAAACCTTCATAGGGCTTGTAGAACCATTTGAGTGATGTTGCACAGATGGATTTTCTATTTCTTGATCTTCACTAACTTGTAAAGCATTGGCAATATGCTGGCATTCTTCTTCAGCTTTAGATGGAAAAACTGAAGAGTTGTCCACATCCATATCCTGGGCTTCCTTGATAGAAGCAGACCGGGTAGTTGTGCAGCATTCATTGTTCTCTTCCAGATTCAGAGATTCAATGTTATCACCGCCTGGCTTGTTATCAAGGCCAACAGACATGCCCTCACTACTTACATACGATTCTGTGACTTCAGGGCTGTTCACTATTATATTTTTCTCTGCCAGCTTTAAATCTTGCAAACTATTTGAGAAGGAAACCCTACAAAGAAAGGACATATTACACAAATATTCATCCTTATCTTATGAAAAGAGGTGTCAAAGAAAACATACAAAGACAATGACCGAGCCCAGAATCTATTACTGCAAACTGTCCAAACATGAAATAAGATCTCATGTATAATGGTTTAGGCTCATAATCATGGTCACCAAAACTGGTTTTAAATAATAACAGTAGTACTTTTTTTTTTTTTTTAATTGTCCTAGGTTGCCAAACATCAAGAAGTAAACTTGACGAAGCATAGATTAAAATAGCATCACTTAAGGGATATAGGATGTAAAAAAGTAAAATACTGCTAAATCAATCTAAATCAGGGGTTACAAAATGGGAAAGGAGAAACACACCAACCTAGAAATCCACTCTGAAATTATTTCAGCATATGGAAGCACATGGAAGTACTCAACAGCTGGGGTGACCATCCAACTGCTACAACTCCTTTTAACCAAAGGACCCCGCAAGCTATCCAAAGAAAAGACATAAAATGTTATGCACAAGCATGCACAAAGTTTGTTAAAAATCACATTTACTTTTTTATGACAATCATTTAGAAGTCGATCTAGGGACAAATATCCAAACACCAAATCAAGAACACAAGATCCACTTTAAGAGTAATTAGATGGTGCAGGTCAACTTGCCACAGATATCACTCTATGATCTCCAATTGTATAAAACTAGAACTAGAACACGAACAGAAGACAGCCTTATGATAAAGATGTATCATTCTGGCTAAAAAGTAGCCATCCAAAGAAAAAAAAGGGTATGCAGAGTGTCCCGGGAAGGGTCAGACCCAATGTGAGGCTGATTGCATGAATGGAACTTGTGACCTCCGGGTCACACAGCAACAACACCAACCATTTTGTCAAGGTTCTCCTTATGAAAATATATCAAAATGGAAGTTAATATACCAGTTACCATGCAGAGATTCATAAACTAGTTCATAACTTGACTTAGAAGTAAGTGAAGGTAATTTGTCATATACAAACAAAGTATATTTGAATCTCCAGGGGAAAAGAGCAAATGAATCCACCTGAATGGCTGACATAAAAAGGCAACTTTTTCCTATAAATGGAAAAACTGGTGACAGCTATGCCATTCACCCTTGAGACCTGAGTCATCAGCAAATAGCTAACAATAGCAATTAAAACGAACCTTTCAATTAAATCTTTGATAGGAATTGGATTAACCTCCTGATTGATCAACTGGGAGCACTTCATTATATAAACTCGTGAAGCTGTCTTCTCTTTGCTCTGAGAATAAACAGTGTAACTTTCCAAAAGCATAATATCAGCCTTATTGACACCTGTATCATGTAAAAGAATCATATTCAACTTTTCATGAATAAGAAAGCACCCATTAAAACCCAAATGAAGATATAACGATACATTAACTAACAAGTGCAATTGCAGAGAAATAATTATTAAAGAGAGAATAAGGAGAGAACAAAGTATGACCCGATTACAGCATAATATTGCATCTTGTCATGATGAGACTCATTAGGTTAAATAAATTGGATAATGAAAAGTCCTCAATCCTTATACAGAAATATGTCCCCTGACCGGTTATGCTAATTTATGAATAAATTAAAACTGAAGTACAACAGTTGCCAGCAATTGACATGGCAATCTTTTTGTATAAGAAAGATAATTACCTGCAGCTTCCTTTATAACAGAATACCCAACTTGCAAAAAACCATCTTCGTCAACCTTTGATTCATCTTTTATAGGCTTTTTAATGCCTCTTTTCTTTTTGTATGTATATTTGGTGCCACTTGTAACATCAGAACTTTGGGAACTTTGGGTGAAGGTGTCCACATCTTTTTCAACCAATGACCAAACCCCCTCAGTGATGGAACTAAACAGCAAGAAGCAGTTCTCCTTTTTACAGTCAATTAAAAGGACAGCAACTTTTGAAATGGGCCATCCCCCTACATTAGGGACATTTTTTGATGCATCTAAACATGTACATATATCACATGCATTCATGATTTTCTTTTCTGTTAATGATAGTTGTTTCTCCACATCAACAAGTTCACTTTCATCAGGCTTTTGCATGAATTTCATATGTGCCAACAGAGCTGGTCTCAGAACCACAGCCATCTTGCAAAATTCATCAAAAGCCAGAAATGCTAGCTCTGGATGCTGTTTTCTGTGGTAGTAGTTGTACAGTAACACAACAGAATGCACCTGACATTGATGACCCCAAAATCCAGAATGATTAATAATGTGGCAAACAATCACCTCCACATTGATGACCCCAAACCACTCCCAATTAAGCTCGACTAGCGAGTGTGGGGTGGAGATAATCCTTGTACGCAGCCTTGACCTTGCATAATTGCAAAGAGGCTGTTTCCTGGATTCGAATCCATGACCTTTCGGTCATGAAAGAACAGCTTTATCACTGCAACGATTCGCTCCCTTTAATCACCTCCACATACATTTATATAAATCTCTAAGTATATGCCGGTGATACTTGCAATTCTTAAATCATAAAGGAAAATAAAGTTGAAATGTATTTTTACTAAAAGACACCAGAACTATACTAGCCTCCAGAGCTTAAAAAAGAAATTTTTAGTAAATAAAATTGAAGGTACATTTTACTAAAGAAATCTATAAATATTAAAGAATAAGGCAATTCAGTTTATTTGTTTAACTAACTGCTGGCCCATCCTTAGTCAAAGGTATCATATCATGAGTGTTTACTTTAGAATCAGAAAGACATGCAAAAGAATAAAAGGCAAAACTTAAATCAGTGTCCAAATATATCACCTAGGGGTTAATCTTTGTATTGCTATAATTGTTGTACAAGAATAAAAGAGGTGAATGAAGACACCTGTTTTGCAACAGACTGCTGTTCAGATGGTGTGGGATTATCTCTGATAGAAGCTTTTAATGGCAGCATTGGATCAACCAAGTATTCTAGAAATGCCTTCACTGCATCCTCAGTGGGACACACATCTAATGGAGCCATGTCCTATCCACTGATTTCCAGTTCCAGTCACACCCTCGAGTTTCAACTGTCACATACATATTACAAGACCGATTAAAACACAGATTACAGCTAACAGAACAACTTGCATGCAAACTGGGGTGTGTGTGTGTGTGAAAAGATGGGATGATTGCTATTAGGATCCATGGGGAGGAGAAAGAAGAAAAGGGTAGAACGAAATTTGAAGAAAAAAGGGGCACAAATTGAATAAGCATAATGATTTAACAGAAATAAAGTCTTTGATTGAACATGCATGTTCTATAATCTCAGACATCCAATTTTACAGAACATGATTTCAGAAATGTTTCTACATTCTCATCCATTTTTTTCCCCCGAAAGCACAATGACAGAACAAGGTTTTACCTAGGAATTTCTACTTGAAGGAAGGCCAGTGTGGCTTGTTTGACTGAAAAGGCGGCACCTTTAAATGAAACTGTACATGGGTGAGAACAGAAAAGTTACTTGATCAAAAAAATTATATGCATGCAATGTTAAAGTTGAAAATCTTTGAGAACCAAAATAAATAAAAAATAAAAAAGGGATAAGTACAGAATAGAAAATCAGAAAGTGAAGTGAACTGGAAGAAGAGTAAAGAGAAAGGGGTAAGAAAAAAAGTGACAGCAAAAGCAATTATTGGAATTCATGGTCACGGGTTTTTACTTCTTCTTCGAACTGAATTGAAATCATGCAATGGAGTTGGAGTTGGAGTTGGAAGAGTTTGCTACCTACGATTTAATTCGTACTAAAGTCATGCACTGTCTACTGTCTGCGTAGCAGACACAGACACAGACGCAGACAGAGACACAGAACTTCTCTTGGCGTTGGAGTTGCGACCTAAGAAGTGACTCCGTACTGTTTATTTATTATAATATTTAATTAATATATTTAATTAAAATTTTTATTGTAAAAGGTGTATTTTAATTGAGATTTTAAAAAGTTATTTTGAGATACAAGAATATATAGATTTTAAAAGATTATTTTATAAATGTGATGATTTAAATTTATTAGATTTGAAATGATAATATAAATTTATAAGATTGTAAAAAATTATATTCCAACTTATAAGAGTGAATAAAAAAATAATGAAGAAATGTAATTAGGGATGTGCATGGGTCGAACTGAACCGAATTGGATTAAATGGTTCGGTTCGGTTCAAAATTAGTTCGGTTCGGAAGTGGTTCGGTTCGGTTGTAAACGGTTTGGAACCGGTTCAGGTCGATCGTATTTTGAAAAGAAAAAAAATTAGAAATTTAAAAACTAAAGTTATAAAAATCAATTTGGTTCGGTTTGAAAACGGTTCGGTTCGGAAACGGTTCAGTTCGATTCAAAATGGTTCGGTTCTTAAACTGGTTCTAAAAATCGGTTCGGTTCATGAACTGGTTTTTAAAAATCGATTATTTTAAGGGCGTTTCAGTTCGTTTCATGGTTCGATTCAATTTTTTGGTTATTTTGCACAACCCTAAATGTAATGATACCAATTAAAAAAATATATAATTTTCTGACACTATCGACACTGATAGAGGTGGCAAAATGGGCTCTGCCCGCCAAACAGGATGGGACAAGCTGAGTTATTTCAAATTTGCTACCTGCCAGCCCGCCTAGGCTAAAATTTTTATTTATTTATTTATTTTTATTGTAAAATGTCATTGGCCCGGGACAGCCTGCCCCGCCCACTCAAACGGGACGTGACAGGCTAAGTTTTCTAGTCCATCTTCAAAGGTGGGGCAGGGTGAGCTAGCCCATTCTTTGGCAGGGCAGGTTGCCTGCTTTGCCATCTCAAAACTCTGATATGGAATACGGGACACGATATAATACTCTGACACATTAATTATAAAAACGTCAATCCGGCACGTGTTCGTGTTCGACACACATTTTTTTAAAAAAAAAAATGTTTTTCATGCTTTCTAGCCATATAGCAATTTGATATAACTTTTAAGTAGGATTTCTCCATATGTCAAAAATTATACTAGCCTTTCACGTATTAATATTTTTTTGTTTTTTTCTTTGGGTTTGAACAATAGATTCAAAATTATCTTTTTCATTAACTAGTGGTATTGAATATGAAGATTTATATGTTGGTACAATAAAAAATTCATCGATATTTTTTTGTTAAAAATATTCAAAGAATTTTTTGTTCGCTTGTGTTTTAAATAAAATGGAGGCCCTAACTTAAAAATTGTGAACCGCTAAAAATGCTAAACATCCTCCTAATCATAGACTACATAATAATGTCCAATATGACATGCGTAAGACTAATAATTTGTCTAATAATCTTTGGGGGCAAGAGGATGTGTCTCTGTCCTCCTCGAAGGGGGATTAGTCTCATCCTTCCTTCGGTAATGAAGCTTAATGCACCCGCTATTCCAATGAGGGATAGCCTTCGGGCCGTACTCCGAGAATAAAGTGACCGGAAGAGGTTGAATGGGGATACCCTCTAGGTTATACCAATTTTTTTTTTAAAGATTTAATAATTTGAAAATTCTGCACGTAATGAAGAAGATAATTCGATATAAAGAATATAACTTACCTTATTCTTTTTAGACAATAATACTTTTTTTTTTTATAAATTGAAAAGAACATTAATGGCTGGTGTTGAGTATGACTCATATTTCGTATGCTGATGAAGGTCATTGTTGTCGGGATCAACAAAAAAGCAACTGGGGTCCCGCTCCCAGGTGAGCGGGCGCCGAGGGAGCTGCTCCGGCCGGGGTCCGGGGGGCAACGCCCCCAAGCCCGTGGAGGATAAGTATTGTTGTAGGCCTCTGATCTATTGTAATTTTTTTTATTTTTTTAGCAGTTTGGGCTTGAGCCCATGAATAGTTGCTGTTAGAGTTTTTGCAATCCTATTTATATTTTTGTTATAAACTGAGTGACTTGTAACGAGTGGCGGTGAGGTGAATATAGTACAGACAAGCTGATTTGTGTGAACCAGGATAAATTGGGTGAACCAGAGTAAATTACTGTGTCTATTATCTCTCTTTCTCTTTTTCATTCGCGATTTGTGTGATTGTCGATTTCCAACAGTTGGAAAACGATAATAAACAAAAATATGAAAACGAAATCGAAACAGAAAACACAAAAATAACATACATTTGGTTTGAGAAGAGGATAACCCTGGTTGTTGTGGAAAACAAAGCAACGCAAGAAAACTCACAGGCTAGAGTGAGATTACGAGAAGGACATAATATTTGTATCTCTCGTTAAAAATTCGCTACTCAAAATTCATTAAAATTCATCCCATTTTTGAATATCAAAAGATTTTATTGGATTTGGACATTCTATAAAAAAAAAATTAATTGTCGTGATAGAATATCACATGATTTTTTTATATATGTTTTTTTTAGGAGACATGTGGAAATAATTTTTTTAGATTAGTTAAAAATCTAAATTGAGTATCAATGAATTTTTTTTCAAAAATAATCCTTTAAAATTTTAATTGAATACATGCTTAATTTTTTAAACATTAATTAATGAGAAAAATATATGTTCTTTTTAATGGATACAAAATTAGGTCATTATAAGAGAGAAATATAAATAAATTATGGACAAGAGAGAGAAAAAAAATTAAGTCATTTTAATTTTTTTTATTCGCTTTCCCCCATAATCTATCTCTATTTCTCTCTTAAAAAGATCATATTTTTAAGTGACAAACACTTTTTTCTTAATTTATATGTTGTATTTAATTATTACTAATATATATACACACACACACACACATAGTTAAGAAAATCGGACCAGCACGGCCGGGTTGACCCGAAAATCGGTGAACCGGTCATATAATAGGTTCGAGTGAAGCAGCAGATCGGTCATGTATTGGACCCGATGCGACCTGTCCCGGCTTATTTAATTTTTTTTTTCAAAATACAAATTATAATTGACATATTTAAGTGATCTGTTGCTTATTATTGACTTACATAGATTATATACCTACAATGTTAATATTATCTCAGTTATATACTAATCCAGGGGATTTTAATTTGATTTATAGTTAGAGATGTTGTTTACTGAACCTGAAATACTAGTATTACAATCATTATATGTTTGTTTGATCCTTTATTGGACAATAATGTGTAATTTATTATTTTTTGGGAAAAGTGTTTGTCATATTAAATGACATAAAGTTATGTCATTTTAAGAGAGAGAGAGACACAAAATAAATTTTTCATTTAAATTTTAAATTAAAAAAATCACCCACTTTCTCTCTCCCATGATTTTTATTTTTTTGTGTCTACATCTCTCCTAAAATGACATAACTTATGTCATTTAAAATGACAAACACCAAACCCTTATTTTTTATATTAAAATATTTAGAATTTATTATTTTTTAGCTATTTGAATATATTTATAATTTTTTAATATAAATTATAGATTTACATATAATCACTGGGTCATGCGATTCAACCAGTGGGTTCCACTAATTTTTTTTCTTCTCTTTATAATGAGACCCGCCCACTTTTATGTGAGTATGAGAGATGAATATTTTCAATAAAATAAAAGCAGAAACATTAAATACACACACACACATATACCAGTGTAAGAATAATAAGTTTTATATCAAATCTTAATCATTGATTTTCGTGCATCTAACGATTGTAATTTATTAGGAATTAATAATTAATTAATGAGTGAACCTAACAAATCTCAACCGTTAGATGCATGAAAATCGAATGTTAAGATTTAGTGTAAGACTTATTATTCTTACACCAGTGTAAGTTGATTATATTCCATATATATATATATGGGTTTTCGTTTTATCCTTTAACATAACACAACAAACTTTCCTACACTCATAACATTTTGTGGGGCCCACACTTTTTAAAACAAAAAAACAAATAAAAAATTAAAGCACGCAAAACGAATCTCTATAACATTACACAATCACTTTTCCTACAACATAACTCTTATAAAACCCTATATATATATGGCTTTAATATTTCTACAGTGAATGTAGATAAGTTATTTATATTTTACTCCCAAAACGATATCGTTTTGGGTTGAAAAATTAAAAAATATAATAAGAAAGATTATTATAACACTGAAATAAATTATAATTGCAAAAATACCTTAATTTTCGCCCCAAAACGACGTCATTTTGGGCTCAATATAAATAACTTATCTACATTGACTGTAAAAAAAATGAACCCTATTTACAAAACAAAAAAAAAAAAAAAAATGAACCCTATATATATATATATATATGAAAATATATATTCTCAAACAGTTTGAGATATATTTATTTCCGTCCACCCAAAAACATGTCATTTTATTTATTTATTTATTTATGTAACATGAGATAAATGTAACATGAGAAATAATATGTGCTATATATATTCCTATTATAATATCGAATGCAGTTGGGGTACAAGCCATTCTTTCTCAGCTAGTAGTTATGAACAGTATCATGTGTGAAACGAATTGTTGATAGACAAATTAACAAAAAAGAGAATAGACATAATTTGAGTGTGAGAAATAAATAAAAAAACAGTTAATTTGTGAGAGTAAGATTTCTTTCATCAAATGGTGTAATCCATTCCTATCATCATTTAGCAGACAAAAATTCTATCTAGTAAAAAACATTAAATAACTTTGAGTATTGACGAAAACCACCATGAAGTTATCTAGTTTAATCACTAGGGATTTGCATGACATCCATTTTGTTTCTTGATACTGTTTCTTAAAAGAAATAATTCTTTCTTATTTCTGTACCTTGGAATAATTTTTGAGAAAAAAAATATATGTTTGATAATAAATTCTAAATTTTTATTCTGAGAATGAAAATTGCGTTTGATAACACAACAAATAATATAATAAAAAATAATTTCAATTAAGCATAAATTTTTTTCGAATCATCACTTTCCTTTCTATATGGCGGCGGTGGTGGTGACAGCAGCGACAATTGTAACGGTGGTGATGGTGGTGGTGGTACTGACGACAGTGACAACGACGATGGTGGTGGTAATGGTGGCGATGATGGTGGTGGTAGTGATGGCGACGACAATGGTTAGTGGTGGCATGATAGTGTTGGTGATGGCATGGTGGTGGTGGTGGTGACGGTAGTGGCTGCGGCGGTGGTGGTGGTGGTGGTTGGTGACGGTGGCGGGGTGGCAGTGGCGATGACGTGGTGATGGCGTGATGGTGATAATGGTGGCGGCGACGGTGGTGGTAGTGATGACAGTGGCTGCGGTGATGATTGTGGTAATGGTGGTGGTGGAGGCGGCGGCAACGGTGGTGGCAGTGACCGCGACAATGGTGGTGTTGGTGATGGCATGATGGTGTTGATGATGGCATGGTGGTGGTGGTTGGTGACGGTGGCGTGGTGGCAGTGACGATGATGTGGTGATGGTAATGGTGATGGCTTGGTGATGGTGATGACAGTGACTGCGGCGATAATAGTGGTGGTGGTCGTGACAGCAGTGGCTGCGATGGTGGTGGTGGTGGCGGTGGTAATGGTGGTGATGACAATGACATGGTGGTGGAGATGGTGGCGATGGGTGGAGGTGGTGGCGATGACATCGTCGTGGTGGTGGTGGTGGTCGTTGTGACGACGACATTGGTGGTACAACAGCGACAACGATAATGGTGGCAGTGGTCATGTCAGGATGGTGATGGTGGTGATGAAGAGTGATTGAGAGAAATAAATGTTTCTCATTTTGTTCTCAGGAACAAAAAAAACAGAATTTTTTTTTTTTTCTTATTCACAACACAAAAATTAAACCGGTTCATCCGAAAACCAAAAAAAAATCAGTTTTCCAAACGAGTTTTCTATTTATTCCTGCTGAGAACACAAATTAAAAAAAAAATTAATTCAGTAAAGGTTGTCATGTACATCTTAGTATTCCATAATTTTCTGAATTAGTTGAGTAACGAATGAATTGAGTGAAGAAATTAAAGAAAAATAACCAAAGGAAAAATTATTTCTAAAATAAATAAAATAATTTGGGTGAGATTGGTTGTGGTTGGTCCCTCCAAAATCCGACACCGATAATGTCGGTGGTTTCTTGGTTTGGTTTGGGGCGAAACAAACTCACCATGTCCGCCACTGCGACCACAAGAACAACATGTTTTTCCTCGAAAACCCAGCAAGGTATCACTTCCATATTATTATTATTTTCATTTTTCCACCTCACCCTTTTGGAAAAGTTCCCTTTTTGACTCCTCCAATGGAGCTTCAGTGTCCCAAGTTCGTGCCTCTGTGAGGAACAAGATAACCAAAAACAGTGTGCAAATTCGAGAAAAGGAGCATGTACCCGAAATTGAAGACCACAAAGTGAGACTTTCATTGTCCTTAGAGCATTTTTTTTACCCAAGGAATCTCAATTTCCAAGCAAAATTTATGAATCACCAGTGTTCCTAATGGATAAAAACACTTTCACTTGCAATGTAAATAGTTAAACTGCAAGTGCAATCTACCAATAGTTGATTCTGATGATGTGTCAGTTCCCCACTATGCAGAAGTTTGGCCTCTCTGAGATTGAAGGGTCTGCATACACAGGAGCAAATGAATTGGCTAGTTGTAGTAAGTGCTTCTTTCCTGTGTTGTGTGGTTTTCAGCTGTTACCATGGCAGTTTCCTTAGTTTAGGAAGCTTAAATTTTAGGTGAATCACCTGCTCACTGGGAAAAGGTGCTTGAAGGGATTCGGAAAATGAGGGGTTCTGCAGATGAATCAGTAGACACTATGGAATCTGAGAAAGCTGGTGATACTCTACCTCCTAAGGTCTAACTCTATATCCCACCACTGCTTATTTCACATGTGGGGAAAATTTTTAGCACTCATCTTTTGGTTTCTGTCTTTTAGAAAATGTGATTATACAATTTACACTCTTTAACAGTTTTGCTTCTCACACAGTCCTTTGGGCAAAAAAGGACAAGTCCCTAACAGTTAGTCATCCATGAACCAGTATGTGCATCACTCATTCTCACCAAACTAATATATAGCCAATGTGCTGTCTCTTATGAGACATTAATATATATTTTGAACCTTGATTCTTGAATTTGTTATCATAGGGACTTTTATTAACTGTTGTGATTATTGCCATTGGGGTATGATTTTCTTTTAATTTCAGCATACAGTATGAAGCATGATTTGGATAAATTTACCCTTATCTGAATTCTTACGTATGTAATCAGGAAAGAAGATTTGCTGTCCTGGCATCTTCCCTTTTATCAAGCCAAACTAAGGAGCATGTTACTCGTAGTAAGTACATATTCCTTCTCAAGTTTATGGTCATCAAAAAAATATTTTGTTAAGATTTGTTTTTCTTTTGTTCTTAACTCGCAGTTGTATAGGCAAATTCACAATAAGATCATATACGTAGAGGCACTTTCTTGCCTCATCGGAAGTAAGAGATTAGCTGCAATAACCCACACAAAGTGAAACAAATATTGTCTTGAATTACCAAAAGTTTATCTTGTATTGAGATGGAAAACAAAGAGAAGAGAAAACATAGATGACTATATGAGATGATTGTATTTAGAATCATGAGGCTAATTGGGGTGGGCATTTGCTAGGGACTTACATTATTATTGCCTGTAATTGTTTAATTGAGGGAGTCTTGAGTTTTTTTTTTTTTTTTTTTCCTTTTTTTAATACGTTTAATCATTCATTCTAGTCAATTATGAAATCAATTCTAAAGAATGATAGATTTGCCAGAGTGACAAAACCCATATATCATCTTTCGGTCGTTGGAAGTTGATTTTTAAGTTGTATGCAAACAAGACCACATTGGAAGTAGAAGTTTAAGTGAACATAATTCCTTGTAACAAGGTTTTTTCCAAAATGTCTGGTCAAGTGGATAATGCTGAAAATCATCATCATTCCCAAAATGAGGGATTACAAGGTTTAAAATTCTGACAAGAAAGAGAGAGAGATGCTGAGGCTTTTCCTACGGTTGTGGAGGTTTCTAGAGTTTTATCTACATCCAAGCTGGATACAAGTAGTTTTGGTCTATCCTAACCTCTCCAAGCTAGAACCAAGTAGTTTTTGGAAAATCAAATGTATTTATGTATACATTACAGGACCTGACACAGAAAGAAAGCATAAGAAAAATTAGATACTTCCTATATCGCATGACGTAGAAGGCTGAACTCTGAAAAAGGATATATTCCAAGTAAACTGCTCATTTAACAAAATGTACTTTGGTCCCCAAATTGTGTTTGTCAGCAGTCTTTTTTTATACAATTAATACTTGGCAGTTGCTTAAAAGTGTTTTCATATCTTGACTTGCTTATGAAATAGCTCTAGTTACAAGTGTGTATTTTTAAGAATAGGAGCAACTCAAAGTCTTCGTCAAAATGGTCTGCTTACTGCTGAAGCAATCAACAAAGCTGATGAAGAAACCATCAAAAAGTTAATTTACCCTGTATGTTCTTTGGTAGCTTTTGAAATCTCATGTGATTCAAATAATTTGGATTCAGTGGCAAATTAAGGATGCTACCTTTGAGGTTTCCAGTATTTCCATTGCTTTCATGTTGGCTTGTCAATTTCTTTTATTGTTATGTCTATTTCATGTTTTATTAATAGAATATCCATGCTTTTGGGTGTTCTTTTTCCAGGTTGGGTTTTATACAAGAAAAGCCAGTAACTTGAAGAAAATTGCAAATATTTGTCTCATTAAGTATGATGGAGACATACCTAGCTCAATTGAGGAACTTCTCTTACTTCCAGGCGTAGGTCCTAAGATTGCTCATTTGGTATGTGCAAAAAGCTTTTGTAATTCAAACAGCATGTTTCCTTTGTTTTTTTAGGTACATTTTGTAGGTGGTATCATTTTTTTTAGTTCATTTTGTTTGTGGCACTACAGGTTATGATTGTTGGATGGAACAATGTCCAAGGGATATGTGTAGATACTCATGTCCACCGCATTTGCAATCGGCTTGGATGGGTTTCAAGATCAGGCACAAAACAGGTTCATTAGCTTAATTGTTCACATTTTATGTACCCAACTAGTTCTTCACTGGCTTTCTGAAATTGACCTTTATATATATATATATATATATATATATATATATATGAGTTTGGTGTTTGTCATTTTAAATGACATAAGTTATGTCATTTTAGGAGAGAGATAGACACAGAAAAACGGAAATCATGGGAGAGAGAAAGTAGGTGGTTTTTTTAATTTAAAATTCAAATTTTCTGTGTCTGTATCTCTCTTAAAATGACATAACTTTCTGTCATTTAAAATGACAAATACTTTTCCATATATATATATATATATGTTCTGAGATTGTCAAAGCATATTTTTCATGATCAATATTTATGTTAGAGCAATCGAATGTCATTATCAGATCATATCACTTGTTTATTTATCATGATATCTGAAATTTACTGGACTTGATGAGTCATTTGGTGGTAGTCAGCAATAAGAAATTTTCTCTTTGATTGGGTTGCATTTAGCTTCTTCGGCTAATTTGTTTCAAAATGTGTCAATTTGAAAGTTATAAATCCTCTTCCTTTGCCAGAAAACTTTGACACCGGAAGAAACAAGAAAGGCGCTGCAACTGTGGCTTCCTAGGGAAGAATGGGTTCCAATAAATCCACTTTTGGTATGCTTAACTCATTCCTTTTTACTGTATACCAACAGATGCACCAAGATGGTTATTTTGGATGATTGTGTGCTGTGTTATTACTTATTGCTGCATTGCTAAAAGCTCTTTTGGACTTCTTATACCATTTATCTTACAACATTGTTTGTACATGTATGGCATCCCTTGGCTTGAATATGAAAAGGTAGGATTTGGACGGACAATTTGTACTCCTGTGAGGCCTCACTGTGGAGAGTGTGGTGTAAGTAGCTTCTGCCCATCAGCGTTTAAGGAGACTTCAAGCCCTTCTTCCAAGTCCAATAAGTCTGGACTGAACAAGAAGCTTGAATCAAACTGATTCTTTTGTTTCATGTTTGAAACGATTCATCATTCTCTTTAACCTCAGATACATAAGCAAAGAATTTGGCTGTGATCAAATTATTGTGAGGTTAAAATTGAAAACATTCGTGTATCTCGAGATGTAAGTTTTGAAGTACTCATATTCAAGCAATTTGATATTTTAAGTGCTTTAATAATAATAATAATAATAATAATAATAATAATCTAATAGCATTGTCAAGAAATTGAAGAGGATAAATATTTTCAATTCTACTCACACTTGAATGCCCATGATGCGCGACATAAATACAACTGATAACATACCGTAGCAAGGAACAAATATGCAATTTCAACAGAATAAAGTTGTCTTTTCATGTTTTAGTACTAAACTGCTTGAGGAAGCCTGCTCTTACGCCAGATCCAATAGTTGGCTCTAATTGGATCAACCCGTTCCAGAATGGAACAAATATTTCTTGCTATATCTATATCTTCTTTATCCAAATCTGAAGTCTTTAAAGCAGCAACGGCATCTCTGAAGTCTTGGTTTGGTTGATAACCGAGGCAGATAAGATCCAAAAGAGTGCTAAGAGCAAACAAATAACTATTCTTCGAACTCAAAACCTTTAAACATACTGAAGAAACTTGAGGATCATTTACCCATGATGTTGTTTCACCTAAGTAAAGTCCTCGAAGATATCTCCACGAGCTTTCATTTTCAGGGTAGGCCATTATGGCTTCAACAGTGTAAAGCACTTCAGACTCTCTCATAGCTTTTAGGCCTCCCAATAAGGGAGACCTTGTTATGACAAAATATCTCTGTACAAAATATTGCATGTTAATTTTCTGAAATTGAAAAGACAATTTCAAAATAAAATTAAAAATAAAATAGGATATAAAGCTATTCCAGACGAGATAAACACGTGCTGCATAAACGTGAATGAAATATATTTGGAAATCCAAGGCAAATTCCTTAGAAGCTTTATAAGCACCTTAAATCCCTTTGCCCCTAGGAATATTATGTGTTCTCATGAATTTACTCCCTCTTTAATTAATTGAGGCAGGGGAAGAATAAGACAAACAAGGTGTCAAGCACAATATTTGGAAGTAAATAGGTTGGCAATCCTAATAGCATAGTTCAGTGCATTAAATTAGATTGAAGACATTGAACCTCAAATCAATTAAATTAAAGAGCTATTGTGTTTGTAAAGGACCTAAAAGAGAATACTGACCTATGGTAGCAAATTAGCTAAAATTATAGACGCAATATGGAACTTCGGCAAAGTACCATGAGATAGTTATTTTTCAATTGTAATTATTAGAAAATGCAACATTTGGGGTAATTACATAAACATGCAAAGTATATCTGTAGGCATTTGATCTCAATAAGTTAGACAACAATCATACAATCCATGCCGAAGATTTGATTATCATGTTGTGCCAGGACTAAACAGAACAAGCGCTACAGTTGCATACCTGATTCCAAGCAGAATTGTTAAAAATGTCTGTTTCAAGAAGTTCGGTACAATAATTGAGTTCATCTTCCCATCCTCCTAGTGCCTGAAGGACCCACTGTCCACACAAGAAAAGAAATTAAATTTTATTGAGTCTCAATAATAACACTAAAATCAAGGCTGGGCATAGTTTGGTATGGTTCAAAAAACTGAACTGAGCTGTAATAAAACTAGATTGCAGAATCAGTTTTCAAACCACACTGTATTTAGAAATCGCTTCATTGAACTATAATTAGAAAATCAATTTTCTCATTTGGTTAACCAGTTCGTTAACTGATTTGTGGGTATGACAATTTATGCTGCTGATTTTGATGCTGCGAAAGAAGAAATGTTGATGAACGTGCAGAGCAGCGTATCAGCATTGTTACTTTTCTGCTCAATGTTGCACGAAGATTGGACAGTGGTAACTGCTCAGACCTGTGTGTCCATAGCTGGAGAAACTCTGAAAACACTACAGAGGAGTGGGTTGACAGCACCGGATCAGCCTCGGGCACCAGATCTGTGACACTGACAGCACTGATTCTTCTTTGGATTATCCACAGCTTGAACAATTTGGGATATGCTTCAATATGGAGGATAGCGGCAGAGAAGATGGTTGTGGTGGAGGTTGCTTCTCCATGTGTAGTGGCGGAGGAATGCTATTTGGAGTAGAAGAACCCTTGTTTGGTGTTTGAGATTCTTCTTATGGATTACAACTCACGGTCAAAATCCTCCAAGGGTGTTTGAGGAGGTTTTGCACCTCCATTGGAGACAAGGAGCTAATCCGCTTCCAGAAGATAGATTTGATATGTTATAATTCAGTTTGGTTAAATATAGTTAACCAAATTGGATCTGAGAGTAGTTAACCAAACTGTTTTTAGAATAGAAATCAATATGCTTAATAGAAAGCTTTAAAGAATGCGGTTCATTTTGGTGTGGATCAATTTGGTTTGCAGTTTCAGTTTGGATTTTAGTGATCCTTTGCCCACCCCTAACTAAAATATAGTGCTCAGACTGATGCGCAAATATTAACCTAAAAGACAAAAAAATATGCACAAAAATTGTAAGAAATTCAATTATAAGAGACAATGGGAGAAACAAACCTGCCTATGAGACCATGCATGATAATGTTTGGCGTCAATAGACAGTATCTTCTTGGTGAACTCAAGTTCGTTGTTTCTAGCTTCAGGTCCTAATTTCTCAGCAACCCAACGTCTATGGTGCCTACAAACATCTGGCATCAAGATCAATGTGATGATATGTGTGCAAAAGAAGTAAAATGACTCTGGAGAACTTCGAAGTAGTGGATAAAATGAAATTGCACATGGTTTATGTACGAAACGACAACCAAATATAAACTACACAAGAATCAGGTCTAAAACCTTAACAGTTACTCACACTTTTTCAAAATGCTTTTGTGCAACTGGAATGCCATGACAGTATGAACAAAGAAGCATATTCTCTACAATTCCAAGAGAGGAGTAAACGAAAGGAATCAAAACAAATTCTGACTTCTGAGTCACAGGCCAGCAAAATTTGCAGGTAAATTGAACAGATATGCCAAGTGGATATCATCATCATGGTTTAATTTATAAAGGTCACTCCAGAATTAACAATAAATAAATAAATAAATAAAACAAAATGACAAACGTGTAATGCATAGCCCATAGATCTCAATTTTTGTATTATGCAATGAACAAAGCCTAGAGTCCATTTGTCACCTAGTCATAGTTTTACCGACCTTGGATTGAGATAGGAGGAGAGAACTTTTTCACAAATATTTGAAGATAGATTTGCCTCATTCTGCAAGTGAAATATTAGGCCTAATCCATTTTTGCCATTCATCTATTTATTGTATTACTTAATGACAAAATAAGTAGCCCAACCTAACAAAGTGCCGTGCAGTACAAAGAACTCAAGGGCTCCTAAGACATAAATCTGCAAATTTCAGCCAAGAAAAAAAACCACAAATCTGCAACAATTCAATAAGGACAGCCCAGTACTATAAAGCTCTCCCATGCACGGCTCCAGGGAAAGGTCAAACTCGGTGACCATGCCTAACAAATTATGGATGTGCAAAATAACTAAAAAACTGAATCATGAACAACACTGCACTTTTTTAAAAACCAATTCATGAATCGAACTGAATTTTAAAGAAACAGTTCGTGAACCAAACTGGTTTTTAAATCGGGTTCAAGAACCGAACTATTTTTGAACTAAACCAAATTGGTTTTTCTTACTTTATTTCTTTTCAGAATAGGGTCCACCCAAACCGGTTACGAACTAAACCATTTTCGAAGCAAACCAAATCGATTTTGAACCGAACCGATTCTGAACAGATCGAACCAAACCGATTTTGAACTGAACCAACTGAATCGTTGAAACCAATTCGGTTCGGTTTTTCAAAAATTCAGTTCAATTTGACCCATGCACACCCAATAAGTGACTGCTATTATAACTCGAACCTAGAAATGGAGCATTAGTTTTTGAACAAGTTGGCAAGATTGTCAATCGCAATCAGATTAAAATTAATGAAGAAAAAGCAATGGAATTTCTGTCTCACCATATCTGATAATTTTTGGAATTGCCACTAGCTATGCCCTCCACAAATTCTAGTTCACTATGTAAGTCAACTTTTAGTGACTCAAGTAATAACCGCCGGAAATGCCATACCTGTATATAAACAAAAGCATTAAAGTTGAGAAAAAGTAACTTGAGTTCCACTAATCACAATCACAACTTCGCAAAAGATAGTTGACAGCATGTACTCAAAAAATCGCTGAGAAATCAATTGCAGGGAATTTGAATCTGATGGAACGAATCGATAAGGACAAAAAACAAAGCAGGGATGCGATTTGTGAAATAGACATACAGTGTAGTTGGCAGCATTGAAGTGGATAGCTTCTGCGGTGAGGGAAAGGGCGCGAGGGGAGCGTTCATCGGAGAGGTAAACGGCTCGAAAGTAGTCCATAACTTCGGCAAACTCTTCCGTATACTTGATCGGAACCACCGGGTTAGGGCCATCGTCTTGCGGAACCGGAGTAACATCCTTCCACTCCGCCCTCTCCCTCAGCGGCACACGCTCTTCGCCTTCGCCGGAATCAGACTCCATTCTCTCCCAGTCGAGATTCTTCTTCTTCACTTTCCTCTACTTTTCACTTTAAAATTTATAAAGGTGTTCTTTGGGCTTAATCCAATTATCCCTTGTCACATGGGCTTGTCTATTTCAGCGCAATACAGTTGCTTTGTATTTGCTAATTTCCTTTGAGTCTAGAGTAAATATTCTTTTTAGTTCCTGACAATATCCACGAAATTCTTTTTCGTTTCTAAAAATAAAAAAGGGACAAATTGGTCCCTTAAATAACAAAAAAGAGGTCATGTTCATCCTTATGTTAAATCCCCCCAACAACCCAACTAACGGTGCATAGTTGACACGTTAGTTTGCTTACACGGATTGGATGTGGTCCACCGTGGAAGACGAGATCTCGACGTTTTGATAATGACATGCATCTTTATGGTCGTGTTGCAACTCCAACGTCTTGGGATAAATTGGGAACCGTAAATCCCCCAAATTGCTCAAATGAACCCTAAACAGAAAAATTCTCCAAATTCTCCGGACGTTGATGACTGAAAATCGACGACAATAGAATACCTCTATCGGATTTGCTGGGGCGTAGGAGAAGATGAGTCTTTCTTCTGGCATGGGGGATCAAGTGAGAGTACTTCAATAGGGGGAAGAACATTGACAAAGACTACCGGTTGTAGGTGCAAATATGGGAGACAAAGTATCGTCTATATCTCCAAAACTGAGAGAAACCCAAACAGGACTTTCTTTAGGTGCCCTAATTTCAAGGTATACATGTGTAATGTGAAGGTAATTAAGTTGAAACACTTGTTTATTGTGGTTTGTTATTTTGGCAAAGACATGTAAGGGACCACCAACTACCAACAAAGGGAACAAACAAGCAAGACCAAAAAATGCAATGAATGTAAGGATTGGATCCAGCTCAGTAGATGAAATTCCATTAAGTCAAAGAGGCCCTGCAGCAGTTGGTAGTTCTCAGCCACATGAGGGCAACTTGAGAGGAAGCAACCCATCTCCATCAAATCCACAACAAGCAAATAAATTGTTGAGTAATGAAACAATAAATGCAGCAACCAGTGGCACACGAAGCAGATTATTGGCCTTCATGAGCACACCTGGTTTTAGGCCACCAAGGCTTGCCTCAAGAAAATGAGCTGCTGTTGTATATGACCTGGGAGTAGTGCATAAGCCAACTGAGAAGGGTTTATTATTATGTGACTGACTTTTTTTGTAAATCCTGGCCATTATGTATTTGGAGGCCTTATTATGTCAATGTTTTTTTGGGAACAATTTGTTGTACCTTTTTGAATTGTACTCAACAGTGATTCAAAGGCCATTTTGTATTAGAGGCCTTTCTTTTAATTCTTGACAGTTGGCTTTATTTTGTAATGCACTACTGTACATCCATGTCTCCAAATATAATGATACTCATATCATGTTCCAACTATGATGTTTCACAAGGTTGATGAATGTTTAAGTTTACCTTTTCTGATGTTTTTTAACTAATATATGTAGTTGTAGTTGTTGTACATCCATGTCTTCTGGTTTAACAAATTGGACTGCATACAAATCCTCTGCTGTCATGTTCCTGTTGTAGATTCTTATTTTCTGGTTTTACAAAATTGAACTGCATAGAAATCCTTTGAAGTCATGTGCCTATTTTTCTTTGGTTAAGGACCAATAAGGGCCCTGTGGTTTTTGTTAGGGACCAAAAAGGTCCTCGTGCATTTTGACAGGGACCAAAATGGCCCTCGTGGTTTTGACATGATTAACAAATATCCAGTCCAACATGGAACTTCTGTTACAACAATTTCTTGATTTAGGCATATATATCTGTACATTGTGGTCTGTGATACAATGCAGCAAACTGACACATTCATTCCATGCCTAAGTATGTAGTATGCCCTACTACAACAATAATAGCATTGACATGGCATTGGATACACAAATATATGATGCATAAGATGCAGACAGATTCGAATCAACACATAATAGGCCATATAATAAAAGCTTCTTGATTAATTTGGATAACAAGAGTACTGAGTACTCATTACACTTCATTGAAGGAAAAATACATTGTGGTCACTTGTTTTGATTGTTACCACAATAACAACAAAAACACACATGATGATCACACCTACACAAGCAGCAACTAAGACCCTAGCTGACCTACCAACATGCCTAATTTTCTTGTCCATCCTATCTAACTCCTCCACCATCTTCAGGTATAGCTCATTCAGCTTTCTTTCCTGCTCATTAAGCTTCAGTTCTTGCTCACTAATCTTCACACCTTGGTCATTCAGCTTAGCTTGCAATTGCTCACTCATCATCATGTCCACATACTTCAACTTGAAATTAATTTCTGCAACATCCAACTCCACATTGTGTATTCTTCCATCTTCCAGCCCCATCCGTTCATCACAGACGTCATCTATCCATCCAAAATAATCACAAAACGACTTCTTCTCCTGTCAAAATAACAAACCACGATGAGCAAGTGTTTCAACTTAATTATCTTCACATTACACATGTATACCTTGAAGTTAGGGCACCCAAAGAAAGCCCTGTTTGGGTTTCTCTCAGTTTTGGAGGTATAGACGATACTTTGTCTCCCACATTTGCACCTACGACCGACAGTCCTTGTCAATGTTCTTCCCTCTATTGAAGTACTCCCACTTGATCCCCCCATGCCAGAAGAAAGACTCATCTTCTCTTACACCCCAGCAAATCCGGTAGAGGTCTTCTACTGTCGTTGATTTTTAGTCATCAACGTCTGGAGAATTTAGGGGATTTTTCTGTTTAGGGTTCATTTGAGCAATTTGGGGGATTTAGGGTTCCTAATTTACCCAAGGTGTTGAGTTGCAACACGACCATGGAGATGCATGCCATTATCAAAATGTCGTTGTCTCGTCTTCCACGGTGGACCACATCCAATTCGCGTCAGCAAACTAACGTGCCAACCGTGCACGGTTAGTTGGGCCGTTGGGGGGATTTAACAGAAGGATGAACATAGCCTCTTTTTTTGTTATTTAAGGGACCAATTTGTCCCTTTTTTATTGCTAGGGACGAAAAAGGGCTTTGTGGATATTGCGAGGAACTAAAAAAGGTATTTACTCTTGACTTTATTGCAATCAGGTTTATTATTTTTAAAATTAATTGTCATATATATATATAAAGTGAGAGATTATACTTATAATTTATTTTCTCTTATATCCTCCCATAACCATTTTTATTATTGGATCAAAATCAAATCAGCGGTTATAAAATAGCATCAAATTAGAGTCATTGATTTGATTTTGATCAAACAACAAAAAAGTGATTGTAAGAGAAAATAGGTTATAAGGATAAAGTTATATATATATATATATATATATATATATATATATATATATATATATATATAAAGGTAGGATCTTTTGACACCAGTGTCAAATTTAAAGTTTGACACCTCATCTGAGAGTCGTTAGATCAAAAAAGATCAATGGTGTCACATGTTTACAAATCAGAGTCGTTGATCTTTTTTGATCTAATGACTCTCATATGAGGTGTCAAATTTCAAATTTGACACCGGTGTCAAAGGATCCTACCTCATATATATAAGGGCAGGATCCTTCAAAATTTAATTTTGACACCAAATCTCGACCCTTCATCTTAATAACATCTAACGGCTTATAATAGTTCAGGTTTAACTATCACGTGACTTCACTTTTTGATTTTTTTTTTCTTCTTTCATCTTCTTCGTCGTCTGTTGCGCTCCTTTCCCTCTTCCTTTCTTTTTTTCTCTTACTTCTTCTCCTTCATTTGTAGCTGTTCACCTCAACCTTCTTAGAGCCCCATTTCTCCAAAGTCACACCCACTTCTCCTTTTTTACTGAACCCAAAATAGAAATTGTATCATGCTCTCCATTACAGAGGACAGGGAGATAGTTCGTGTGTTAGAAGACTGTGAAGAGAAGGAACTCGATGGGCTTTCATCTTCCAAGGTTGATACGCAAGTATCGTGACTCTGATTTTTTTGTGGTTTGGAATTTTATTTAATTTTATCCACACAAAAAAGAAAAGAAAAGAAAATGTAGCATGCATGATATGTTCTGTTTTGGGCAGATTGTACTTTTCAATGGAGATTTTGGCAAATGTCTTTATTTCCTTAGAATTAACTTCTTAATTTTAAACTTGGATGGTCTGCTTCTTTATATCTTGAGAACTTTAATAACATGTGAGTGCCTTTTGTTCATTTCGACGCTGATTGAAGAATTTTTGTAGGCTCATAAATATCATAAATAAACTTACCAATGGGCCCCCTAATTTTGTTCTTTTTGTTTTATTATGCCATCAGGATAGAACAGTTCAGTCAAAAGAATAGGATAGAAAAAGAAATCATTAAGATACCCCTCTTTTTTTTAGCTTGCCAATCTACACATTGATAGTCCTTTTTTAATTTTCTGCATCTCATTTATATAGTTGATCGATCGTTCATAAGTCATAACCTCAAGTGTCTAGGAGACAAGGATAGTTTGATGTTGTTGCTGGTTTTTTTGAAGTGAGTATATATGTATTAAAATTATTGTTAACTTTGTCATTCTCTTTTTTAATGGGTCAATTATTTGTCATTCTTTCACTATTAGTAGAGGCTGGTTGATATTCTGCATTAACAAATGCATTTAGGTTGCTTGGTACGTACTGTTAAGCATTGAACTTTTTAGATCAATAAAGCAATCACTTGTCTTCCTTATCTAGTATAATTAATCATGACACGTGAAAAAGAAAATCATTAGTACTTGGCTTAAATTGATAATGACCACAAAGAATTACCCCGTCAATGTGTAACCTTATTTTTGGTCTATTGAAGTCACAATATGTAACCTTATTCTTTGAATACACAATTCATCAATGGATGACTTTATGGAAGATTAGACTATTTTAATGACTTGTTTTCTTTTTCCTTGCCTGGGAATGAGGTTTATGATATAACTCCCCTGTAGGTCCCCTTAAACAGAATCGTATACCTTCATAACCTTTAAACAAGAAACAGGATAGAAGCTAAGAACAAAAGAGATAAATAGAATCAACTAATAGAGTCTATGCATGTATTAGTATTACTGTACAATAGGAAACTGGAGGATTATCCATTTCCATCAAAAGATGTTCAACAACATCAACTACATGTTCAAGTAGAGAGGCCTCATTCACCCAAACTGTCATTCCTTCCCAAGCCCGAAGCCTCTCCCAACTTATGCTAATTAAGTAGATGCCTTTCTAACTATCAGTGCTATTATATTCCTCTTAAATTAGGTCACAACATATTAGAAAATTAAAATTGTTGTCTAATGTCTCGTGTGCAATAGGTATTTTTTAATTGACTTTAGTACAAGCCTTTTTACTACATGACTGTATATGTGCATATCACTACCATTTTATGAAAATGCTGTTGAGCTACATGTTTACTTTGTCAAAGATCTTATTAAATATTCTGGACAAAAAATTCACTTTCTATATCTCTTGACAGGGGATGAAAGATCCACTTTTGGACTCCAATTCTAATTTTTCCCAAATGAATGTGGAGCCTGATATCAGTTCGGACAACATATTGGTAACAGATTCTATCCTACCAGTTAATATGCCACAATCTTCTGATGTTGATGAAATTATTGTTCAACCTCATGTTAGAATGGAATTTGAATCATTGAAAAATGTTGAACATTTTTATACATTATTTGCTAAAGCAAAGGGGTTTGAGGTCCGTATTCGCTCTAGTAAAAACAATTACGGCCTTTTTGTATGTTGTAAGCACGGTGAAAATAGCAAGAAGAAAAACAATGATTAGGGAGATTATAAGAAAAAGTTTTCAACTATTCGCTCGGGGTGTAAGGCATAGGGGTGTTCGCGGTCTGGATTGGATCGGTTTTGGAAGCAAAAATCATCTGATCCAATCCCTTCGGTTTGATTATATAATCATCTATTCGGTTTGGATTTTTTTTCAAATCTGATCCGATCCAATCCAATTTTTTTCGGTTTGGATTGGATCGATTTTCGATTTTTTGAAAATCCTAAATTTTTTTTCATGATTATTGTGCAAATAACATCTTTTGTACATATTGCCTTTGTAATTTTTTTTTTAAATACAAAAGCATTAGTAAACTATAATATAGTTTTTTTTTTTTGCAATAAGATATGAAGCTCTACAAAAATAAAATTTTATTGATAAAATGTGACTTCTTGGGTTTAGTTGATGGGTTAATGGGTCTTGGGTTTAGAAATTTTTAGGCTATGATTAGGAAAAGACCCAAGTAGGTAGAGGAGAATTAATATATTGGATCGGTTTGGATTGGATCGGTTTTCATCAACCCATCCAAAAACCGATTCAATCCAATTAAAATTTGCGGGTTTTTTTCGGTTTTTGATTTTTCGGTTTTCGATTTATTCGGTTATCGATTTTTCGGTTCGGTCACCGCGGTTTGAATCGGTTGATGAACACCCCTAGTAAAACATCACTTTCTGTGACAAAGGATACGAATCGAGGCATATGGGTTATCAAATCTTTTGATAATAATCATAATCATATCATGCCTAGTCATAAGAGTGTATCTTATTTGAGGTGTCATAAAAAAATGAATGGTGCTGCAAGAAAACTTGTTGAAAAGTTTAATGATGAATGTTTGCCTACCGGAAAGGTTGCTGCAATGTTTAGTGGCATTGATTTATCTTTTTCTAATCGGGATTGTTGGAATCATTTGAGAAATCTTCGAAGGAAGAATTTGGATGTTGGAGATGCACTAGCTGTTTTCAATTACTGCAAACAAAAGCAATCTCAAAATCCTTATTTTTTCTATTCTATACAATGTGATGCTGATGATAGAATGATAAACTTCTTTTGGGTGGATGCTAGATCAAGGTATGCTTATCAACAATTTGGAGATGTAATCACTTTTGATACTACATATAGAACTAACAAATATAGCATGCCGTGCGCCCCATTTACTGGATTAAACCATCATCTTCAATCAATTTTATTTGGTTGTGCCTTATTGCAAGATGAAACTGAGAAATCTTTTATATGGTTATTTGAAACTTGGCTTGAGGCAATGAATGAGAAGAAGCCTGTTTCCATAATAACTGATCAAGATTTAGCTATTGGAGCTGTTGTGGCCAAGGTATTTCCTGAAACTCGTCATCGTCTATGCTTGTGGTACATTAGAAAGAAGTTTCCTGAAAAGCTTGCACACATATATCATAAGAATTCTACATTCAAGCGTGAGCTGAAAAGGTGTATTCGAGAATCTTCAACTATCAAAGAATTTGAAGATGAATGGCAAAATATAATGGTTGTGTACAATTTGCAGAAAAATGAATGGCTTCAAAGATTATTTGAAATTAGATAGTCATGGATACCGGTGTATAATAGGAGCACATTTTTTGCCGGTATGAATACTACACAAAGAAGTGAGAGCATCAATTCTTTTTTTGATTCCTTCGTTAATGCAACCACAACACTACGAGACTTTGTAGTGAAATTTGAGAAGGCAATCAACAACCGTTATGAGGCTGAAAAAAGAGAGGACTTTGAGTCCCGACATAAATCACACAGTTTGAGTATTGGCTCAAAAATTGAAGAGCATGCTGCATCGATCTATACCAAAAATGTGTTCCGTAAGTTTCGGGATGAGCTTATTAGAGCCAACCATTTCATAAAGGAGAAGATTGAGAAAAATGGTTCACAATGTAAGTATCGAAGAATAGGCTTGAATTATTGATTCTTCCAGGGTGCTTACTCATGACAGTTTTGCAAGAATATAAATTACAATAAATCACAGAGAATGGTCTCCTAACTGTTTTATTGAGCCATGTCGCCTCAATGTTTTCTTTTTTTTCTTTTATCTTTTTAGTAAGATTTCTTATCCTCCTCTCCTCCAAATGCACATTCACTCCTTTCATTCTATTATCATATTCTTCTTTGATCTAAACAATAATAATTTTGAGAAAAGGGTCGACCATAGCCCTAAGTATACAACTAAATAAGAATGAATTAAGAAAATATTATTTGCCTGCTGTTAAAGATTTCCATAGTTCAAATAAAATCTAGAAACAAAATCTTTATAGCCTTGCCATAATAGATTATGGCTTCGAGAAGTTCGTGATAAAACGTTGTTGAGTTCCTAAGTGTGAACCGAACATTCAAAGCTCCATGTTTTTTTTGAAGACTAAATGTTTAAAGGGAAACTTAATTTCTATGCTTAAAGAAACCCTCACACAAGTTGCTTCAGTTTGAAAAAGGGAATAAAAATGAGCATACCTTTACTCAGATTGATCAAGTCCATAATCAAAATAGAGAAAAAAGAACAAAAATGCAATGTTTTAAATATTTATTATGTTATGCACTAGAGGTTTCACCACAAGCAGTGGAATGGGGCTAATACGATTTCTATTTTGGGTTCAGTAAGAAAGGAGAAGTGAGTGTGACTTTGGAGAAATAGGGCTCCAAGAAGTTTGAGGTGAACAACTATAGATGAGGGAGAAAACGTGAGAGAAAAAAAAGGAAGAGGGAAAGGAGCGCAACAGACGACGAAGAAGATGAAAGAAGAAAAAAAAATCGAAAAACTGAAGTCACATGATAGTTAAACCTGAACTATTATAAGCCGTTAGATGTTATTAAGATGAAGGGTCGAGATTTGGTGTCAAAATTAAATTTTGACACTGGTGTCAAAGGATCCTGCCCCATATATATATATATATATATATATATATATATATATATATATATATATATATATATATATATATATATGGGGGAAGGATCCACTTACCACCAAAAATTTTTACAACTCTTACAACCAATTTAATCACCGTTGATTTCCATCAATCTAACGGTTATAAATTAATAACATTTATTGTGTCACAATTATTAATTTCCATTAATTTATAACCGTTAGATTGACGGGAATCAACAATGATTAAATTAGTTGTAAGAGTTGTAAACTTTTTTGGTGGTCAGTGGATCCTCCCTCATATATATATATATATATATATATATATATATATATGGAAAAACATTTCTCTGGCAACTTGAGATAAGTTTATCTCCCGGTCACCCCAAAACTATGTTGTTTTGTTTATTTATTTTCTTATATTAATTGATTCACCTTTGAATGGTTATGATTATCTTTTTTTTTTCTTCCTTTATCACCATTGATCCATCTTTGTACGGTTATGATTTAGTAGCCGGAGATAAAGTTATCTCAAGCAGCTTGAGAAATGATAAGCCCATATATATATATATATGTGTGTGTGTGTGTGACAAAATGATTTGTAACATAGTTGTAAAACCCGGCCCGACCTGGCCGGGTCGACCTGGAATCCGGTGAACCGATCATCGAACCGGTTCGGGTTGAGCATTGGACCGATCATGCGTCGACCCGTTCAAACCCGGCTAAACCCAGTCAAAACTGATGACCTGGTGACCTAGTGACCCGGTCGGGTCATGCATTTAAAAACACAAAAACAAAAAACTAAAATTGTTTCATCTTGTCAAAAAAAAATGTAGAACTCATTTTAAAAACTTTTTGTAATTTTATTTGCTAGTATACTTTTCTACAATGACCTCAAATTTCAGCTTCCAATACTGAAACAATTTGTGGAATAATAAATTAAAAGAATGTGACATATGTTATTTTTAATGTAGTTGAATTTGAAAAATATGAGTTCAATGTTATTAAGAGGTATGTTTATGGGGATTCTGAGTTGTAATTTAAATTGACATAGTAATAGCATGCATTTTAATTTATTTATGTTTCATGTTTTTGAGCTTATTTAATGATCCTTGTTTAATTCATTTTAGATATGGAGAATATAATTGAATTTGGATGTTCATATATATATATATATATATATATATATATATATATATATATATATATATATATATCCAGGTCCACCGATCGACTAGTGACCCAGTATCCCGACTGGGTCGATGCCCGGGTTGGGTTTAATAACACTGATTTGTAATGTGACTGTATATAGCATTGGTGCAGTCACTTGAAAACTACAACGTTATAGGTTGGATAAAGGAAGTTCGCGTTTAAACTTAATTGTAGAAAATAAAAATATTGTATTGATTTTACCTTTGTATGGTTATGATCCCCATATTTAATACTTTATATTTATTTTAACCATTATATGATTATGATTTCTCATATTTAATGCTTTCACACTATAAAACGACATAGTTTTATATGACTGCACTAATCCTTAAGTGCATACATCTGCTAAACCCTATATATATATATATATATTGAGGTCGATGTGTTCCTTACTAAGCTCCGATCACAGGCCAGGCACGCAATATAAAATAAGAGTGTTAACTAGGGGTGTAAATGAGTGACTCTTTGGCAATAGCTTCCATGCTTTCAGTACTATCTGTTTTCTATAAACCTAAGGATCGAGTAGAGAAGCGGGTTGCTACACGCGAAAGATTTTTTGTGCCTGAAGCCGATCATTTAACGCTATACAACGTTTATCAGCAATGGAAACAACATGATTACAGAGGTGTAATAATCATTTTTTGCATGTTAAAGGTCTAAGAAAGGCTAAAGAAGTGAGATCTCAGCTGCTTGATATTCTCAAGACCTTAAAAAGATTCCTTTAACCTCATGTTGGCCTGATACAAACATTGTCAGAAAAATAATTTGTTTTGCATACTTCCATAATGCAGCAAGATTAAAGGGTGTGGGCAAGTATGTTAACTGCTAGGATGGAATGTCATGTCATCTACACCATAGTAGTGCTCTCTATAGGTTGCACTCCTAAGTATGTTGATTATCATGAGTTAATCTTACCATGAAGGAGTAGATGCAGTGTGCCACAACGTTGGAGGCTAACTAGGAATTTAAATGAGTCAGGCCAAGACAAACTTTAGCTTAGGGGGTGTATTGGATTGAGATTTCAAAGGATTTTAATGGATTATTTTTAGACAAAAAAATTCGTTGGTATTCGATTAGGATTTTAATGGATTGAAAAAAAATCACGTGGTATTCGATTAGGAATTTAAATGTGTTTACGTGTATAAACTTTTAATTTATTTTAAATTAAATTAAAATTTAATTTTATAATGAGAAATCAATACAATTCGGTCTTATTGGTCGTGTGTGCGCGCACGTTTGTGTGTGTTTGTGTGCGCGCACGTTTGTGTGTATGTATGTTTGTGTGTCACGCGTTCATGCAAGCACGCATTAGCACAAAAGTACTTATTTTAAGACTAAACAACCATGATATTTAAACATAAAAGAAGAAATCACTAAATAAGGTAAAGTCATTTATGTTATACTAATAAAATATAACTATATTTCGAAATCAATTTTTAAAGTAAAAAATTTACTTGATTTTGATTTTATGGATCCACCATCACAAGATAATATTCTCAATTCTATGTATTAGTTGTGGGTGTTGAGCGCCCTCAATAATGTGGGGGACTTAATTGACCTTGGCGTTGAGTTTCCACTAGACCCTCCGCTTGCTAAGATGCTTTTAGTGTGTGAATAACTAGGGTGTCTTGAGTAGATTTTGACAATAGTTTCTATCCTATGAGTACCATATGTTTTCTTTGAACTCAAGGACCGAGTAGAGGAGAGTGATGCTACACGTGAAAGATTTTTGTGCAAAAAATTCGACAATTTAATCCTGTACAATGTTTGATCAGCAATGGAAACAACATGATTACAAAGGTGATTGGTGCAATGATCATTTTTTGCATGTTAAAGGTCTAAGAAATGCTAGAAAAGAGAGATCTCAACTGTTTGATATTCTCAAGACTTTAAGTTTCCATTATCCTCCTTTTGGCCCGATACTAACACAATTTGTTCTGTGTACTTACCCCATGCAGCAAGATTAAAGGGTGTGAGCGAGTATATTAATAGCCAGAGTGAGAAGTCATGTCATCTACATCCCAGTAGCGCTCTCTATGATATATATTGCACCCCTGAGTATATGGTTTATCATGAGTTAATCCTGACTATGAAGGAGTATATGTAGTGTGCCACGGTGGTGGAGCCCCAGCGGCTAACTAGGATTGCAAATGAGTTAGACCAAGACAAACTTTAGCTAAAAGTGTGTGCGTGTATGTGTGTATAAAATTTTAATTTATTTTAAATTAAATTAAAATTTAATTTTATAATTAAAATTCAATATAATTCGATCTGAGTGGTTGTGTGTGCATGCGTGTTCGTGTGTGCGTGTGCACAAAAGTATTTTTAAACATGATATTTAAATTAAACTAATAAAAAAAGTCAATCAAATTAGACTAATAAAATTTAAATATACTTGGAAATCAATTTTTAAAATGACATGTGTGATTCAAAATTTACACAGACAAATCATGCAAGAAGAACAATGATAATGCATTAATGCAACTAAGCAATGAAGATGTGCACCAAATAACAAACTTATATTAGAATTTCCCAATAAAAAAATATTAGATAAGTAACAAAAAAACATTAATAAAAGACAAATGTAAACAAATGTCCAACAAACATGAACAAGATATTATTTTATTAAAAATACTAAAATAGGCTTAAAGATCAGGCTACTAAAATAGGCTTGTGGCCATTTCAAAATAAACCTTTTAATGAATAAGTCTTTACTATTTTTTAAAATGATTCAAGTAAAGTTAGGCCAAATTGTAAGTCCTTAACAAATTATTTGGTCCAGTGTTAACTAATAATAATGCACGTACAATAAACAAGAATAGAGTATTAATTTCAATGTAACTTTGATTTACAATTCTATTATGTGAATTTTTTCCCAGTATGCAAAAGAATTACAAGAGGCAGCTTCGCACTGAAGATGCACCTTAACTGATCTTTCAAATTCGGACCTCCATTATTACTAAGCTATAAGAAAAATGGAAAAATTATAGATTAAAAAAAAGAAGAAAGAATGGTTGTGATTCAGATTACAAAAATATGTATGGTGTTTTTCAATAGAAAATATATTTGTGAGAAGTTTGCTAAGGTGAGTCCATCTGATTTTTGAATTGTTGTTCACTTGTGAAAGAATTTCCAAATATCTCTGTCGGCCAAATCCTTGACTAGGTGCGTTCCGAAAATACTCTCCTCATCTACCAGACTTCTCAGTTGCCGGGCTCCATAATTGAAGCCAACATAGTGCTTCTTCATTGTAGCTAGATATACTACACCATATGGAGGTCTCAAGCACTGATACCAAAGGGAAAATAGAAAAGAATTAAAAATTCTGCTATTACTAAATTTTGTAACTCAATTTAATAATTCAGCTAAAAATAGAAAAGGATAAACTTCTGCAGTCAGGGTAATGGCATTGTTACAATAGGTATCAAATTTGATCATGCATCTATATAAATATACAATTGACAACGGTGCCAATTTGCTGTGCCTGATAGCATAGCAATAAGACGAAAGCACCATGGCCCACAATACAAACGCAATTTCAACAAGGCTAAAAATAAATCTACAAATGAATTATGGAAGACACACAACTTACATCCACCCACACCATGATAATCCGCTTGTCTAACAGATATATGCCACAGATATTAAGTTTAGTAAAACATCAAAATAAGAAAGCACATACAAGATTTTCAGTAAGCATATTAGGAAACAAACCTTCTTAATAAGTGCATGCAGCTTTTTCAAAGATGTAACGGAGTAAGGAATCTCTGTCATTAAAATAACATCATAGCCACCCTCTCCCTGATCCACCTCACTAGCTCTTTCCCATGCTCGACTTCCGGAGAGCTTCCTAGATCGTCTTGAGGAAGATTCTTGTCCCATGATGCTACCATCTTGGCTACTACATCCATCCATAAAATCTTCCTCCGAGAAGCTCAAACTCGTTCCATGCGTCACTTCACCTCCATCGTTTTTCACAATAGACAGCACATCAGGTAATTCTTCCCAGTCCCCAGCATAAAAGTTAACTGATGGTGAAAGAGTCTGTCTAGAAGGAGTAAGGAGAGGCTCTAGCTGTCGAATCTGCCTATCACGAGCTTGCTTGAGATTAGCAAGGACATTTGGTATAGTTGTGCATCTTACAGTTTCTGCATTCTGATCTTGAAAATGCACCATGGAAGCTCCCTGTGAAATAAAGAACCAAAAAGAGGACAAAGCATGTTATTCCAATGAGTAAAGTGTATTTATTTGAATGTCCAAGCTCAAATTACACTCGTTGTCTTTTGCTTTATTGGGAAAAAAAACTAACATCTGAACAAATTTAGACGTTCTTTCCTGCTATCAGACACAGATAGTGACAAATGAACCAGCAAAAAGAGAAAGTGAGATCCCAAGCCTAACCAAATACCTTCAAGCAAGCAAAGATTCCAGGAAGCCCATAATTGCAACTGAGCTGCAAGAAACAAGAAGTAGAGAGATTAATAAATCATGAATAATAAATACTACTAACATAATTGAACAATACGGATTAACCGAGTAAAAAAGAAAGTAATCTCAAGAAGATATAGCTGACATTTTGAGCATTTGAAAAATGAGGGAAGGAGGCTTCAGCACAAGGAGAAATTAAGAAAATCAAATCAAGGCATAACAGCAAGCAATAGAATCTTCTTAGACAGGTTACCTCGAGTACTCTTTTTCCTCTAAAGCTCAGTTGCCCATCACGAATCTCATGCTTAAGAACATTGACAAGATCAATGGAACTGGCCCAGGATTTCAGATACCCTACAACATCAGATAAATATTAGATACCACCATTCCTTTGTAGTGATGAGGAACTGAATTACATATATATAGCAAAGCATAATTGTTTAAAGACATTATCCTCAGCAAGACTATGCCATTATTTTTCTGACTTAAATTGGGTTTGTTGATTGGTTGAATCTTTTACACTAGTACTACATTAACTTCAGGGATTTGTCATGTTCCTTTCATGCCAAAAATTATTTTTGTTTTATTTAAAGTATTATAAATTTATAACATACTAAGATTCTCTGCTTATCAATTCCTTGACTATGTTAGTTCTATAATGCAGCTGAAAGAAAATGCTGGTTCACAAGAAAACACCAATCGCTTGTCCAATGCCTACAGGACGGAAATATCATGTACATACCATCAGATTTTGAGGATATCGTCTCTGAACCGCTGAACCCAATGATATCAGCAACACTAACTTTACCCTGTAGGAGGTTTAAGCTAGCATCAGTCCACCAATCAAACTAACTGATATGCAAAGCTCTAGCATTATGTTAAGCATACTCAAGATAAAGTTTCAATCAGAAAATTTTCAAAAATAAATTAATAAATGAGAAAGTTTTCAAGAAAACGAGAAAACATTTAGCTCTTGTTAAGAAATATTGAAAATCCATCATGTAAAACACATTAAAAGCATACAAGACACCACGGAAATGTTACTAAAAAGTCTTATTTTACTTAACGGGCAAGTTTTGTAATCGCAATATAATCTTTATGAAAGCGATCTCTTTCATACATCAATATCAAGAGATAAAACCTACATACCATTGTATTGATATTTACAAAATAGAAGGATAGAAAACAACACGAAATCCTTCCACTATAATCGATTCAACAATAACACTAATCTCCCCTAAAGAATTAAATTTAGGATACAATACCTCTGATTATGCCATGGCATCCTTCAGAAAATAAAATACTAAAAAGTGAACCATACTAAAATGTACCTTAAAAAGGTCTAAATTCTCCCCAGAGTCCTTGTCAGTGTGAATTGCCTACAGAGCATGACAAATTTGAATATGAGTTACACTTTTTTTTAACTACAATCACCCCAAAAGAGAAAATAAAAATAAAAAAACAACTAAAAACCTAATTTCAAGGTAAACTTAATTTTGAATGGCTGATAATTGGAATTGTACCTTTGAAGGGAGAATCTCTACCGCTGGTGATGGGAGATGAATCTCTTTCTCAGGAATGGAAGATATGCTATGACTTCCACGATCATGAGGCACTAGGCCAGGTAAACACTGTGCAAGTAATGCTGGTGCACGCATTGCAATTGATATTAAGAAGCACTCTTCTGTGATAACTGATAATATAAACCACTATAATATATTAGAATCAACACATAAAAAATGCTATATAATAATAAATAAATAAATAAAAAACCAGTGTTTAGCTACTATGTCTATTTGGAGAGGAAGTAAGGGACTCATAACCATAAAGCAAGAAACAAAATCATACCGAGAAAACAAAAATACCTATATCAAAAAAAAAAAAAATTAAAAAAAGAGAGAGTTTAAACACAGTTTAAGGTCTTCAATTGCATATAAGTAGACAGAGAAATTAACGTTTTATTTGTTTTTTAAGGTTATCGAGGGGGAAATTAGGGGTAATTAAGATGGAGGTTCAAATCGACGTATGGAAATAAAAAAGAGGAATTGGAAAGATGGAAGAGAAAACCTGAAGGGAGAAGAAGTCAATGGGAGTGCAAGAAGAGAGAAGAGTTTGATCGTGTAAGCAAGGCAGTAGTAAAATATGAGAAGAAAACCGAAGTATTATTAACTTGTAATTTCAAAAGAAGGAGCAGAAACAGAGAAGCTTCGACGTCAGAGTGAGAGAGGCCTGCAACGACTGCAATTTCCGAAAATGCCCTTTTCAATTTTGTTAGTTGGAAATAAATCTTCGGTGCTATTGTTGCAGCAAGATTCAGTGCATCTTACCAATGAGAGCATTACACATCATAGGAGAGAGAAAAAAAATTTCAGAGAAAATAAAACTTTAGCTGATATGTAATATTTTTATTGGTGGGATGTACTGAATCTTTGGTGCTACAGTAGTACCAAAGATTTGTTCGTTAGTTGGGGGTATTGTGAGAATAAATATTTGATATTACTGGAAAAGATTCGGTGTATCTCGCTAATAAAAATATTACATGTCAGCTATTTTTTTTTTTTATCTAATTTTCTTTCTTTCTTCTGATGTGTAATACTTTTATTGATCGAATGCATTAAACTTACGTGTTAACGGTAGCACCAAAAATTTGTTCATACTGTGGGGTCAGATCAGATCACACGTTTGTCTCCAGCTTTTTGGTAAATATATATCACAAATACGACAACCCCGTCTTTCAAGCCCTTTGGTCGGTTCGCTTCTCCGAGTATAAAAAATTTTTTATTCTCGTTTTTTCATTTTTTTTATTTAAATACAATTTTTAGATAGTCATTTTTTTTTATTTAAATACAATTTTTAGATAGTTCATAGTCAAAAACTCAAAATTAAAGATTGTAGAGTATATCTCAATCGTAATAATTTTCTTAAAACAAATATACTGATTAAATATAAAGTCACATATGTAGAGGTGACAAAATGGACGGTCCGTCGCGCCCCTCTCCATCTCACTATCAACTCGTCAAAAAATGAGTCAGCCCGCCCCGCCCCGTTTGGCGGGTTGGGCCGCCAGCCCGAGTCTATTTTACACTGACCCGCCTCGGTCTACTTATGTCCGCCATCAACTCGTCAAAAAATGAGCCCGCCCCGCTTTTGAGATAAGTTGAAAAACTCAGCCCGCCTTGCTCCGTTTGGCGGGTTGGGCCGAGTTGGCTCTCTGAACTGAGCCCATTTTGCGAGCTCTACATATGAGTATGTGGTGAATTTCTCTTAAATTTGACACAACTCAAAAACTAAGTTTTTTTACCTAAATTTTTTGTATATATTAAAATAAAAGACATATGTATCAAAAAATAAATAAATAAGAGACATGAACGTCAGTTTTATGACTTCTCATACAACTTTTTTTCATTTTTTTTTTTAGGTTTTCAAACTTATTATATGATAAGTATGGTGACATAATAAATGCGACACAACTAAAAAACTTACGTTTTCAACAAAGAGCATTAATTTACATTATAGTGACATAATAAATATTAAGGCATTGAAAAGTAAGTTAAAGAAAACTTGAAAATCTTTTAAATATGTTGATTGGCAAATTCAAATCTTTTTTTTTTTCAGACGATTCAAATGACTTAAAATAGCTTAAGTTGCAGGTTTACAATACACGCTTTAGAAAATCATATACTATCAATATTTTGGCTCCTCCTCAATTGAATTCCTTGATCTCCTTTTGACCTTTTATTGGAGATAATCTCATCTCGTTTCATTGGGAGTGAGATATTACGATAAAAAAATTTATTTATTTTTTCTTTCATACTCACATGTTAAAAAATATTTTATTTTAATTGACCGGGACCAATGAATCAAGTGGTGGGCCAGAATGATATTAAATATTTCCTTTTTTTTATGAAATGACAAATGAAATGGATATTTCTTGAGTTTGGCAGCCCAATTTCATTCAAACGAAATTCAACTAGTGTTTTTTATTTTTTATTTTTTCGGTACATGAAATTAATTGACCTGCACCAGACTCGTGGGTAGGGGAAGGAACGTTCATTTCCATTTTCAACCACCAGCTGGTCCACCTCACTCTGTTCTTATCAAATGCATAATTTATTAAGATATTCATAAAGACTATTTATTTCTATTTTCTAATTGAAGTATAATTCCTTCCTTATTATGGAGAAATTTCTTCATCCCCACATATAAACGCGTGTCTTTCTCTTTCTTGATTGCTTACCGCAGACGCGTTTCTTTACCAAAATATATTCCACTGCAAAGACCTGAGCTATGAAAATGGAAAAGCAAATGGATTTTTCTTGAGTATCAATTTTTAATCATTTGTCACCAAAAAAAAAAAAATTCAAAAGTAAACTCAAAACACAGGAAGAATATAATATCACAAAATGTCATGGCCACGAGGAACAAGTTAATTTAGATCAATTACAACAAGCTTAATAAAACAATGACCAATTACTTTTAAAAAGTGCACAGTAATTGAACAAACTAACTTGAGAGGCAAATTAACTGCTAATGATAATATTAGCTGAAAATGTTTATTACGTTAGAAATTGAAGAAACATTGTAAAACTGTAAATGCATCAGCACTATAGCCAAAAGTGTAGCTAGGAACCTAACTACTTCAGCTGGAACACGTGACCTATATCTACGACCATATAGAGCAATTATATTTTCAGTCAAACCCCAAAACAAAAAGATGCTATGTTTGTATGTCAAAGGCCTAACTGTTCTGATATCATACACCAAGTTGAAGTATATGCTTGCTCTTCACTCAGTTTGGAAGCTCCATAGTCATGCTCGTGCTTGAATTATTGAAGAGATTAGACCAGCATAAGACCATCATCACCATTAAATTCCGAATCAAGCCCTTCATGGCCATCAAATTCGTTGAGCCCCACCAATGTCTCTATGGAAAGCTCGTGATCAAAACCAAAATATTCCCTTCCCAAAAGAAGGCCTTTATTTGAATCAAAATCCTCATTAAGAAAAGTGTTGCTGAGAGATAACATTTTGTTGCTCAGATCTTCTCCACGTTGCAGAACCACTTTCTCATCTTTACGCTCCAATGCTGAGCTTTTAGACAACATGCTTAACCTTGAAGTTTCAGAGTTTACACTGCATCCAGCCTCATAGCCTTTTTGTTTACACTCCTTAACCCTTGATGTTGTTGATCTAGGCGAGGTAGAAAATAAACTACAAGGTTCCTCTGAATTCCAATTGAATTTCTCTTCAAATGGCCAAAAAAGTGGTTCATTATCCCTGAACTCTTCTGCATGATCATCATTTTGTACTGAAGGAAGAAACTCACTACCCCAAATTCCCTCATAAGATGGTCTTGGAAAACCATCCTCTAGTTCTTGCTTTGAGTCTAAAAGCCACTCACTATCTTTCCCTTCAAGCCATAGCAAGGAGTCCCAGTAACTAGGTTTATGTGTTCTTAGATCTGAAGGGTCCTCTTCATATGAACATCCATAAGGCTTTGAATCTAAGAGCCACTCAGAGTCTTCCTCTTCAAGACTGAGTAAAGAATCCAAGTAACTTTCTCTGTCCAAATCTGAAATCTCCAAGTCTCTGTCATACTTGGTGTTGTTGGATGCATTTGTGATATTTCTGTTAGATAAAGAAACAGAAACTTTCTCTGCAGGTTTTATTCTGCAACCGCGAAAAAAATAGACAGTTTTGGCAAAGATAGAGGAAAAGCTTGTCACCACGAACAACCAAAAAGCTAAGCATTTATTGGCACGAAGATGAAAACAAGTTTTGTCTTCAACAGAGAATGAAGGTGATGATGATAACTCTCTTTTATCAACGCATCCATGAAGATTACGGAGGTGACCTATCTCTTTATGTTCAGGTGTCATAGCTATCTTCATTAAGGAACAATGATACACTGTTACATTGGTTTAACCGAAGAAACAATAAGGATAAGTGACAATTTGAGTGAATAGAGAAAAATAAAAAGAAAAAAAGAAGAAAAATTGAGAACAAAACAGGACACCCACTACCATCCGTCATTGCAGGAGAAATCCAGCATCATTGGACCCAAAATGAAGGGAGAAAGAAAATTATTTCTACATAACCAATTCACGAAAAAGAAAAGAAAAACAGTACAAAGGAAAATAAAATAAAACAACAAAACGCATTATTGGACCCAAAATGCGTGAACTAGGGTCATAGATTATAACGATCAAGTGTAGTTGTTGGTATAAAATGTCAAATATTTCAATTTTTTTTAATTAAAAGAGAAACAAGGGAAGAATAAACGTCAAACGCGTCAAAGAATGAGAAAGTCAAACAGTAGATGTCAATAAATGAAATCTGTATATTTACAAAAGTAATTATATACATTAATTTTGGACTTCAATCTAATCATAAATTAGGAAATAAAAAATAATCCAAAATTAAAGAATTGATATATTCTATCAATCAACTCTAATTACAATTAATTTCTATAATTGCTATCACAATTAAAACCATATATTATTAAATGTATACAACTCAACAATCACATCCCTTATGAGAAATTTACGAGGAAATGATTTGGACACAACTCAACATTGATTTCGAATCTTCAATTCAACACTCCCCTCAAGTTGGTGTGTGAATGTCCATCATACCCAACTTGCTGACTGTTGCTTCAAACACTTTCCCAGACACGGCTTTTGTCAGTATTTTATCTGCTAATTGATCTTCAAATATACATATGGAACATGGATAATTCTATGATCTAATTTTTCCTTAATAAAGTGACTATCAACCTCAGCATGCTTTGTTCTATCATGCTTAATAGGATTATGAGCAATTTCTATGGCTGCTTTATTGTCACAATGTGAGACCATTGCTTGTTCATAATTAATACCCAAATCCTTTAACACACTTTTAAGGCCTGTTTGGTGTGACGTATAAGGCTTGATAATATAAGTTTATACTATACGTTATGACATTTTCAGTTATTTGGTGTGACCATCGTATAGTATAAGCTTATACAGCAGAACCTCTTAATACATCAAAATGATGCATAACTTAATCAGGCCTAAGGGGGTGGGATTAGGCCTGATAAGGGGTTGATGTATTAATATTGCTTACAAGTACAATTTTCAAGAGCTAATATATCATTTCAATATTAATATATTAAAATAATTTTTTTAATATATTAATTTTTAAAATATTGGAGGATATTATCTTATACAATATCATACCAAACGCTGGATAGTATTAAAATTTAATCAGGTCTTATACAATCAAG